ACACGTCGAGCGCCAATGCGAATATGAAGCACTTGACCGGCCTGGCCACGCTCAGCATGAGCTCGTCCACCAGCAGTGGCTATGGCTCCCAGGCCGTGTCCTGCAACAATCTGAGCAACGAGGACATAACTTCCATGCGCTCCATGAGCATTGACGAGACTCCAGGTAAACCAGAAAAATAGCCCACCAATATGAACACACAATAGTTTCCATTTATTCTTCAGATTTAGATCGCGTCAACTCCAATTCGCCGCCAAACCGTCAGGCTCGAGTCAACCCCTTCCTCAAGGACATGCCCAAAACCAAAACGCAAGATCCAGCTGCCGAGCCCCAAGCAAAGACGCTGCAGGAGGCTTTCACACACCCCCTGGAGCAGCCAGAGTCAAAGGAAGTCGCCCAAAGTGATGATGATGATGAGTGCGAGCAGGTGCCCAAAAATAACATTAACAACAACCACAACAACAACAACGATACCATTGTCAAGAAGGAGCCACAGCAAGCGCACGATCAAGAACTTCAGGAGGTAGGGGAAGAGGAGCCGGAGCAGAGTCAGGAACCTGCCGGGGAACCAGAGCTTTCCACAGACAATCAGAACGGCAACCAATCGCTGGACGAGGCCACACACAACATTTCAGAGCAGAGCCTTGAGGGCGATGGCATCGTCAAAGAAGAACTGCCGGCTGGCAAAGTGATGCGGCGCAAAAAGTCTAACACGCAGCCACCGAACAACATTGGCAACAGTAGCAACAACAACAATAACAACAGCAACCACAGCACGAGCCAAACGTCACGCATCAACCAGCGTGCCTCGGTGGCCAAAATGGAAGGCCTGGCAGCATACATGGACCCCAGCATTATGTCTAGCAGCACAGAAGTCGAGGGTAAGCATTTGCATTCAATCGCCTACAGCTTGAGAACTAACTTGATTCTGCCACGCGGCACGTACTTTCGCAGACGACGGCAAAGATATGGTGCAACTGACGCTACCCGATTGGATTGTGGTGGGCGAGTCGGTGCTGATTCGCCCGTCCAACGCCAGCGGCGTCATACGCTACGTGGGCACCACACACTTTCAGGCCGGCGCCTGGATTGGCGTGGAACTGGACACGCCCACAGGCAAAAACGATGGCTCCATGGAGGGCATACAGTATTTCCAATGCAAGCCGAAATACGGAAAGTTTGTGCGACCTGACAAGCTGCAGCTGGACAAGCGCGGCAAGGCGATGAGAGCCTACAAGGCCGCCGAGAAGAGCAACAGCATTAGCAAAGGTGAGTTGTGGACTACGCCCTGGAGTGAGGCAGTTTTTAATTTATGGTTCGCCTTCGCCCCGTTTAGAAATGAGCAGCTCGATGACACGCTCCAAGAGCCGCGGCGACTCGCTAAATGTGTCGGCGCGCAAATGATTGTACCCAAAGTGTTCGCATCAGCTGCAGCGTTGGACTAATTGCAGGCAATCGACACTGGTCACAGGCGCTGTTAGCCAGCCGGCGACAGCGACTTGCCACAGATTGCGTGCAACCAGCAGCGCTGCAGATGCGAACAGTCATGGCAAAAAGTGCTATGCCAATCGACGCTCGACGGCCTTCTAGGGCTGCCACCAACGATGACAAACGATGACAGATAATGATTACGATTACGAAGTTGATGACAAGGTCGTCCAGCAACGAACAATGCGGAGCATAATCCACATGCCAACCATTTACTAGCTTACTTAACTATTCTCTCACCATGCCGCAAATGAAATGCCGTACACTTAACCCCCGCGCTTCTCTAAGTAGTTTAAGGCGGTGTCTACAGCAGAACAGAACTAAATACTAATCTAGCTAAACTAAACTAAGCCAGGCAGGGCGTTCGCCTTCGAGTAGTTGCAATACCACGAGCACTTGGGCACGAGCAAAATCTAAATGTGTAGCGTATTTTTATGAAAAATGTATGTGGTAAAGTGTGCAATGTCTTCAGATTCCACTGTTTTTGTTTTGTGTTCTGTGTTCGTGTAGTTTATTGATCGTCTCATCGATTTTTCGATGGAACGCGTTTGATTATGATTATTATTGAATTGATTGATATACAATACATATTTTTGTAATGGTCCTTTGCCTTTAGTTTAGTTCAATTGTTTTTATGTCGATGTGACTTGGTTTATGATGAGCTTATATTTTTAATTGTTATTGACTATATATATATGTATATCAAAATTTATGAGATCATTTGTATATATTTATAACTTTAAGATCATGCAATATTTTCTTGTATACACGTATATTCTATTTCCTTTCCTTTCCTATTTCCCGAGCTCACATTCTGTTAAGCGCATTTATATACAGACTACCAGATTACAATGTTAGTAATAATTAAAGCGACATATTTTATAATGCTGCGTCGCTGCAGTCGTGGGGCATCGTAAGATGGATCGCATCTTTGATCTTAATCGCCGATTAAGAAGCTTCTCGCACTGGCGCAGTAAATACATATGTAAATTGTATTATTTTGATGTGATGTATTTATAATTTCCTCTTTATATACATATACATATACATATATACATACATATATATATATGAATAAAATAGATTTTATCATATCTGTATGTCATTATTTTATGATTTTCTCTTACGTTCTTACCTCATACCGGTATGTGCAATATCCTTAGTGTTAGGAACTTTTCGTTGTACATACGTACATACATATTTATCAATGTTGAAGGTTGTGCGACTATGTTTGTGAAGCATTGTTATTAGGTAACATTAACTGAACACCGAACACTGAGAATGATGCGTGTGTTTGTCCAAGAAAGCAAGATGAAGTGAAGCAATAATTGCATTGAATATTCAATTTTATGTTAAGATAATCTATGTAATACTTGTTCGTTCAGACGAAGGATCAGTGAGTCAGAGTGGGCCGGTCTACGGAACCGGAACGTAACCGCAGTAAACCGTAAACGTATCCATCCATCCATCCAACCAACCAACATCCAAGACACTCCAAACTGAGTCTGAGATAAATTGCAATTTAAGACACAATAACAAGCGATTTACACTTAGAAACCAAAGCGAAAGCAAAACCAAAACCAAACTGATACTAAAATCCAACAGAAAACGGAGATGCTTGAGATCAAACATTGAAATCCAACTGGAAGAACTACAGCCATTCATCCAGTATACAATATACAAGCATACATACATATACTATATAAATGCATGCATATACATTAGGTATATATTTTCGAAACTGAGTTTTCTACTTGCGTATAGATGAGAATCAACTACCAAAAATATACTTGAAAATACGTCCAAAATTAAAAATTCAAGAGAAAGATACAACTCCAATATATACTTACAATTACATGGATATTCATGAATACAAATATATACTATACTATATATTTACCAATGATAATCCTAACGTACGAACTAAACTATATCTTTGGCCAGCCAAAGTTGAGAGGCTCCTTGAGGAAGGGCTTTCGTTTCGTCCGCTCCCAGACTATAGCCACTGAAGGGGCATGCATTCCGATTTAACGGTGCGTGTTTGTATGTGTGTGTGTGTGTGCGTGTGTGTGTGTATGTGTTCGATTCGTAGACGCCGCAGTTTTATTCTGTTGAGCACACTCCATATGGTTTAATTGTTGCACCCAGCCAGCCACATGGCATGCCACTTGAATGCATGTACATAGTGGGGCATTAATACTGACAAAATCAATGAAAATTAATGCATTTAATAAGCGTAATTAACATTCAACTAGAGCTTGATTGAGTTATGAAATCCCTTAACAAAACCGAAAGTAAATCGAAGTCAGTAAATTAGCAGCACGCACACTCGGCTTTAGGTGTAAAATAGATCGAGATATGTAGTTCTATAAAATTTAGAGTGCCATGCAATGCACTTGCTTGATTATCACATAGAAAAGTAATACGTAGCCATAGGGTAGCCGGACGGGAGTGGAGTCCCAGAGATCGATTGGCAATGCTGACAAATTGAATCGTACCTTGCAGTTATTAAAGAACTACATAATCATATTTTTGTGCAATCCAGTGCAGCTCTCGGCCTCTCGCAATCGGCCCTCCCCCAATTGATTGAGCTAATTGAGTTGCAGTTGCATAGCAGAACATAACAGAATGTTAGACCCACACACATTTTATATGGGAAATAGCATACATATATTAGGATGGGAAGTCAAACGGTATAGCCTTCAAAACAAGTTACAGATAGATACTCGTAAGTTCGCGCACTCTTAGAGCTTTTAGCACGGTCAACTAATTGTTATTATGAATCAATTGTAGCTCGAAACCAGCAGCACGCGAATCCATCAACCGTTAAATAAATTAACCAAGAGTTGAACAAAAACGTTAATTACCAAAAAAACAAAAAAAAGAGTACATGCATATGCTAACAATTGCTTTTATCATACTACACAAACAGACAGAACGGGGCTAAAACCCATTTTTTGATGATAATGCATTTGTTTCGTTTGTTTTGTGTGTAAGGATGGATAATCGACATTAAGTTCATACTCTCCACTTGTAGTTTTAATAGTGTGGGTGTCACAAAAAGAACAAAAACAAAAATAAATAGTAGTCCACAGCAGCAAAAAACACAACAATATGATCAATTTTCTGTAATTACAATTGTTTTACTCCAATTTAAATATTTTAAATTAAACACGTCAGAAAAAGATGCAAACAAAACAGACACGAGTAATCAGAAAATTTGAACAATTACAGCAAAAAAAAAAAGAAATAAAAAAGAATATGAATATGTACTTATGTATATCTACTTATAAATACAAATATACAAATATGCAATGAATATCTTGGAATCGAGTTACCTTATTTATTTACGCTGTCACAGCTGTTCCATTCCGTTTCCATCTTGTTGATACTTGGTAAACACCCGGCAGCCTTGAACCCGGCCTCTGGCCTCTCTGATGCTACGAACTGGTACCATTTTCATAACTAATCAACCCCTTTGACCTGGATGCTTACAAAGACGGGGCCAAATGTTGAAGATGTGTGTCTTCCACTTGGAAGTGTTTTATTTATGAAAACAAATGGCAAAAAGTTATATTAGTAGATAAATGCTTAAAACACTTTTAGTTTACAGTTTACATAGTTGGTTATTCGAGTAGACTCTCGATGAAAGTGGATGATTCGCTTCCTTCCTGCCGTTCCCTTTACATCCGTGGAATGCTTGTTACTTGTTACACACTTGGACTTGGCCCATGCATCGCGTCGAATCGCATCGCATCGCATCGCATCGCTTTCATCGTTACGTGATCACATTGCGATTATAATTATCGGTGAAGCATTTACATACTCGTAGGATGTACCGACGTTCTATTTTACAACTTGTTCTAATTATATTTATACACAACACACAGGTAATTGTTATTCTTATTAGCTTTCTAAGGTGACTTGTTTGTGTTTGATTCGCCGCTGGTTTTGATTTGTTTAAATATATTTCGATTTGCACTAGCTACCGATCCGGAGATCGGCGGACCTCTCAATTGGTCATTGGTGGTATACACACGTACAGCGTATACGTATAGAAAATATATAATTCTAGAATTCGGTTATGTATTTACAAGTTTACATGTTGCGCTAATTTGAATTCGGGTCTGCGCTGCTCAGTCAGCGTTAGTCAGTTTCTCTCAGTTGTTTTGGTCCCGTCCGTCCCCATCTCAATCCCTGTATTTCCAGTGCCTTTTCAGTGTTCAATCGTCCAACGTTGCGTTTCGCTGCTGGGGTCGCATGGTGCCACCTGGGCATCGTCCACGGTCTTGAGGCCTTTGTGGTCGAGGCACATGGCCGTGTTGCTGTGTATCAGTTGCTGGTGCTCGAATTTCCACTGCTCGTTGAATTCATCGTTCTCCATGCAGGGCACCATCACCACCCGGTATGGTGGTGAGTCGCTATGCTGGACGGTGGCGCAGCTCAGCTCGTTTCGCAGCACCTGGGAGTTGGTCAACGAGAAGAGCTGCGACTTCTGCAGCACCTTGCCGCACGGATAGAGGCCCACGTTGTAGGGCTTCTCGTTGTTCTGCAGCAAGTCATCCAGGCACAAGTTGGAACTGACACCTTTCACCTTGCCCCAACCCACAACTTCCGCGTTGGGCACAAACTTCTCTGGGTAGATGTTCTTCAGGTACCACTCGAAGCTCTTGCAGCGTAGCTTCTTTCGAAGCATCACTCGGTGGGTGACATCGCCTATGTCCGCATGGAACTTCAGATCGGGCCGGTTGAGAAAGAATATATTGATGAACTCATCCATCCACACCAAGGCCATGCGGGCCGTATTGATGCCGTGAGTGTCACGATCATTGGGGAATCTGTCAAGGATTTTAATTAAATTTAGTTTCAAAATAGAACCAGAGGATTGTGGCTTACTTGTAGGGATGGAAGTCGCGGAAGATGTGTCCCACTCGGGAGCAGGGAATCGTTTCGATGGTGCCGCCGCACTGCCAGATCCTAAACGACATTTCCAGGTTCTCGCCTCCCCAGCCGTCCATTTGCTCGTCATAGCTGCCCACCTCCCAGAAGTAACGGCGATCCATCGCAAACAGACCTCCGGCCATGGTCGGACTGTAGGCTGGACAGATCTCCCGCTCTTGTTTACATTCGCGTCGTTGACGCTGCTTCTCCCGCTCTGGCAGATTGATCCAGTCGAAGTGACCGTTCCACTGGAATCCGCCCACTTGGAAGGACTTGTAGCCGTTGGTGCTGTACTGAAAGTCATTGGCATCGATTACATCGATGATGGGCACCAAGACGCTCGTGCGCGACTCCTTGATCCGATGCAGCAGCGGCTCACACCAGCCCACGTTTCCCTCGCAGTGGGCGTCGAGGAAGATGAGCACATCTCCGGTGGCGATCCGGGCTCCGGCCAAACGGGCGCGTATCAGTCCCAATCTAAACGGGAAATACCAAAACTTTCTTTAGCCAATCGATGTGCCTTTTTATGAACTGTGCTAAGCTAAAGAAGAAAACATTTTATTGGGTCATCGAGCAACCTTCGAATCTCCGGCAAGCGGCATGCCAGCACACTCCAACATGGCCAAGATAAACTTCGGGCGTACGAAGCTCAGGGGCAGCTAACCCGAGCTCTCTTGTGGGACAGTGTACTGCACGCAGAAACCGACTAGAGTTACAAAAAGTCAAGCCCAAAAAATCTGAAATACATATTCGTAACTTGACGAACTGGTTTTACGGTTGCCGTTTCAGTCGTTTCGTTTCTCCTCTTTCTGTGTGTGTGTTTTTTTTTTTTGTTATTTGAGCTTTTGTCGGTTGGTTCTGACATTATGCTGCCTGCTAAAGAAGATGCTACAGCGCGTCTGCCACGGCACTGGGCCACAAACTAGTTATTCAAATGATGGCAAGCCACGAGTGATTCGATAGCTGAATGGCCGAACTTTCCTAGCCCAAAGACAATTTGTAAAATGGATTCACGGCCTTTCTCCACTCCGCTCCGCTACGCCACTCACCGATTCTTCAGGCGCAGCACCGTCACCTTGCCGGGGGGAGTGCGGGTGCGAATGTAGTAGTCCAGCTTTCCTCCCAGTTCGGGATTGTCACTGCCATCGTCCACAAGGATGATTTCCTTCAAGGCCTGCTCGTTGCAGGTGATTAGCGTGCTGTGCACCGTCCGCAGCAGCACGGAGTACGGTTCGTTGTAGAAAATGACGATCACGCTGGCACTGGGCAGAGTGCTGGAATCATAGTGTTCCGCCAGGCACAAGGGGTTGCGGTGGTCACCCACACTGCGGTTGTAGGACAACTGTTCGCTCAGTTCCTCGTTTAGGGCGATCTTCTTGTAGATGGCGTCGCCGCGCTCCTTGGCCTTGCCAGACAGGTGCACTGATGCTCCCTGCTCGCCCAGGCCCACCTTCTGTTTTTCTAGGTCCAGCTGGATGCTCTGCTCATAGGGGGACACTGTGGCGGGTCGGGCGATTTCGTTTTCGCTCTCACCGTACGCATAGTATCTGTCTCGAGCGTGGCCCCGGAGGGCGGCTGCTCGAGCAGGAGGCCCTTCATCGCCGCTTGGCTGCTGCACCTTGCTGTACAGGATGAAGCACAGGGCGACCAGTATGAATATGATTAGTTTGCCATAGAAGGAACGAAACCGAGGCAGCATTCTTGCTTTTGTGGTGGTTGAGGGTGTTGCTTTGTGGTTGAGGTAGCACTGGTCTGGTCACTTTCAATTGCAACGCCACAGAAGCAGACGTGGCTGTGGATTACTATTACGTCTTCCCTTCCTCGTCTCTGGCTAATGTTTCTCTCCTACACTACTGGTAGCTTCATTTGTCACGGACTCGAGTCGCTGGCGAAAATACATACACACGGCACATCGGTATGCATATGTTTTGTCACTAGGTCTGAATGGCTGTGCTCGAATGCGAATACGAATTCCAGTTTTTTCTCGTTTCTACCCGCAGCACTGATTGAATAGCGCCGCTCACCCGCTCTAGTGGCTTAAACTAGACTAAATGGAAATATTAATTCTAAGCGCGAACGACCCCGACGTCCCTCATCGCTCATATAAACATAAAAACATTTTTATAAACATATAAAACTGTTGCTTCTTTTTCGACCAGTGTGACCGCGGGCGTATAGACAAAATATACCGTCTGACGCTCAAAAATATACCCAAATATACATTCTCTTTTTCATAAAATACCGTAATTTACTGAGCGACACGACAAAATGCGTTGATATTCCTCGATTTTTATATTCGCTTTAATATTACTAGCAACCTAAAACTCTCAGCCCTAAAAAACTAATTTTTTCCAATTCATCAATAAATTTTGTACAAGATTGGCACCTTCCGAGCTCCACGGATTTGATTGCTTTGTTTCAAGTAACAGCTGTTTTTATTGGTCTTAATAGAATAAATCACTAACCATACTGTATATAGATGTGCCAGTTCATACAAAGAAAGTGGCGCAGCTGAATTTTCAGCGTACGTTCCCAGGTCGTCGGCTCTGGGTCCGATCGCGCGCGGCTTTGGTATTGACTGCGTTCGGCTCATTACGTGACACAAGCCGACGGACAGCAAGCAGGTATGTGTGTACGTGTAACACTCGAAAATACATGATTGTATGCATAGAATAATTTTTAGTTACCGAAACCGATTTTGCTTGAGATTTCAGTTTACGTATGTAAATGTGTGTGTGCCATGTGTTCATGCTATGCTTGTGTGGGTTCTAAAATTTTTGACCGGTAAATTTTTCAGCGATAAATTATAATTTTTCGTTTCATATCAGTCAGCTTTTGTCGGCGAGCAATTATAATTTTTTCGTTTTATATCAGTCAGCTTTTGTCAGAGAGCATTTAAATTTGTTCGTTTCATTTCAGTCAGCTTACGCAAACTGCAATCTCCAGCCAAATCGGTTTCGGCAGCTAAAAATTATTCTATTCACGTCATGAGCCGAACGCGATCGGTCCCAGAGCATAAGACCTGGGAACGTACGCTGAAAACTCAGCTGCGCCACTTTCCTTGCATGAGCTGGCACATCTATATACTGTATGGTTAGTGATTAGATATAGTTTTATAAACCGAAGGATTTTGTTTTTTCTTGTGCGCTAAATGGAGTTTGGCGGTAAATTCGTAAATTAATTTAATATATCTTAAAAAATAGATTGGAACTTGATTAAGTATACATTTATTTAGCGATATACCGTAAATATACTTTGAACTCGATTTCTATATAACGTAAACGGTCGCCCAGCAATCAGTACTGACTCTCAGAAATATACCGAAATATACCTTCCAAGGAACATCATGTTCCTTGATTTTGATGTCCGATTTAATAATACAAGCTAGCTAAGATCGTGAGTACTAAACATATAGTTTTATCCGATTGATCAATCAATTTCCTACAAAAGATTTAAAATTTTAAGGACTTGTTTTTATTGATTTGATTATAAAATAGGGTTTAAGCAGAAAAGGCCAAAAAAAATGTATACAAAATACATATTTCTTACATGGTATCTACACATTTTACTTGGCAACTACACAGGGATGAAATTCACACGGAACCTGTCTAAACGTAATGTGTTTACGTCGTACTACGTCAAAATACTGGTAATTTAAACATATGTTGATTTACAATTGTTACAATTTAGTTTTCCTTGCTGCTTGAAGGCAATTTTAAAATGACGTTTGCTCAGAATGACATGTCTTTGACGTATGCACGCACATTTTCTCGGTATATATAAGTAAGAAGACCATAAAAGTTCAATAATTCATTAAGAAAGCCTTAAAACATTTTCTGCATTAATTGAAAGACAAAAGATAGCAAAGACTTCATTAATTCTATAAAATAATTTTCAATATGTGGTGTGCTTTTGATTTGAAAATATATATGTACATATGTACATATGTATGTATACATTGCATAAATGTATATACATACATATGTATGTATGTATATTTGATATATTTAAATGATATATCTATATTAACCGACTTTAACTGACTGCACTGCCTGCTTAAGGTGGGATTATTATATTACTTCATAAAGAATAAATATTAAATATTAATTAAAATATATTCAGTCGTTGGAAAAGACGAATGATTGGCAGGCCGTTCAAACCAAATACTCAGAAAACAAGAAACCAATCGAGTCTTTGATTATGCGACACATAACCATTTTCCTTGCTTGTGATCATTTGTATGCTTTACACTTTCGTTTGGAGCTAGGATATTAATCATAAATGTAGTTATCAAGTGCCAGACACTTTTACAACCCACCTTGTGGCCCAGTTGTCACAGCAATTATTTAAAAAAGCGGAAACTCATATCACTTAAAATGGCGCTGAGAGCGAGGCTGGAGGCGAAAGGGACTGACTGAGTGACTGACTACCTCGAAACTGTCACACTTGACACTTTTTCTGGCACTTAATGCACAAATTGCATGTTCATTTGTTGTTAAAACGAGACAAAATGGATTTCCTATTACAAACCTGTTGCTGCCTTTGACATGCAACAACGCGGGGCAGACATATACTTACATAGGTGAGTGTTGGAGCTGATGTTGCTTCTTTCATTTCGTTTCTTTTCGTTGTTGTCGTTGCTTGTTAAAATTTCATTTTAATTCTAATTGACAAGTGGGCTTCATTCTCGTTCCAACTTTCCTTTTTGTAATTCTGCGAAATGATGCCAACTATGTATTCTGTCGGACTGTGCTCGTTTGTGGCGCTGGCTGTGATTAATTTCAGTAATTAGTGTGCGAATCTTTATTGCAAACGGTCGTAGTTGGCTCTGCGGTCGCATAATTAATACGACGTTACGTATACGCATTGGTGACGCTGCGGGAGACGCTATGGGCCCGAGCAGCGGGTGGACCAGCAGCCGGCACTGCCACAGCAAAAAGTTCAAAGTGCTCTCCAGCCAGTAATTGGAGTTTCGGCGGGGTCCCAATCCCAGTCCCAGAGAGCGACAACATTTGTGGGAAGTAGCTGGCGAACCGCTGAAAGGTGGCAACTGTTTTGCCAATCTTCGCTAAAACTCTTTTAATAGCTCTGAGCGACAAAAACTAGGAAGGAAATAAATTACACAGCCAGTTTGGAGAGGATGGCAGGGTGGCTGTGCCTTTGTTTTTTCGGTCCCCGACGACAGACAGACGGACACATCCAAAGCAGAAAGATACCACGACACAGAGAAAGACAGACAGTGAGAAGGGGGTGGCGAGGGGCAACCAGATTTTGGAATTCCATTTCGTGTGTGACCTTAAAATACAAGTTTGTAAAAATGCATCAAATCCGGCATTGAAACAGATTGGTTGCTTCGTTCGGTTCGAGAAATTAACACCTCCTAAACCGAAATCACTTTTATTATCACCGAAAGTTATGCATTTTCAGCACATTCGTGAAATAGTTAATGCCTGAGGTCGAATTAGTTTGCTTTTATGAGGAGTTATGGTCCGCAACCTTATTGAAAATCAGACACCGTCAAGAGTGTGCCAGAAAATACGTTTGGTAAATAGCAGAAGTGCTCGATAAATAATTAAAAACAAAAATTACTCTATTGAATAATGAGTGGAGCTCCAAACGAGGCCTCATTAATACAATAAAAAGGGGTTAAAAACAACAAACGAAAAACAGTTTAACTGCTGCCAGACATTGTTCCACATGTGAGTCGACGACTGTGGTTAAGGCGCTCGCCATAATGGCTTCGGCCACAGAAATCTATTAATCTTAACGACCCTGAAGAAGCCACAAGCAGCTGAGAAATGGTCATCATCCGTCAATGCGAATGGGCAGTCGAGAGCGGATAATAATAGAATTGGGATTGCAGTTGAGAAATGCCTGCCAGAGATTTTACGGATTACGGATAGTGGATCATGGTTCATGGACTGACCTGACTGTCTGCTACTTTCGTTTCGTTTCGCTCCGAAACTTTGCAAATGTCAAAAGGTTGAGCAATTGAACGATGGCATTGCATCGGGGTTTTCATTCAGATCCGATCTGATCACAGCTTCTCCCATGACAAACTCCCATGGACCTGGGAACCATAATGATCCGCACCACTAACATAACATGCGTATTTAAAACCATGATTTATGATCCAGCATGATCGATTTTAAACACAGATTTCTTTTACCACTAAATTGAAAGTGAAAGATTTCAACAATACCGCCGGCGATGACAGTGTCAGACAGACCATTCCATTGTATTGTATCACCCACTGATACTAAGATGCTTGGGGGTTACGGTTACCCAATCACAAACCCAATTTCAATCCCAATCAGCACGCGTCAAAAGTGGCGCCAAAGTGACGAACCGAATTATGATGCGGATCAAATATGCAAGTTGGCCCAAAAGAGCACAAATTATTACGCTTTTATGATGGTAGCCAGTTCGGGTTTTGCATAACTGAAACACCCGCATTTATGCCGTTTATGGCCATATTTATGTAAGATCAAATCATGTGAGATGTCAACGAATATTTGGCCAGTTCATTGGGTTGTCGACTCATCGCTCGGAATGCACATTGCGTCCGTTGAGTCGAATTGGGTTTTCACAATCGTTGTAGATGCACAGATATAGATAGACACAACCGATTGTCTTGTTTTGAGACCACATCAAAATCAATATAGCGTATCGATCAAAATACAAAATTGAGCATTGTCTCAGTGTTTGCAGTCCCTGATGCGATGATGATTCGATGTCGATTTCGATTTGCATATCCGCTATCATTTATTGTGCGGAGGTGGCCTGGGCCAATCTCTATTCAACATTCCTTTGTTTGGCGAAGGTTGCTAAACCAACAGCCAAATGGACCAGATTCGGTTGAGCTTTGCTAGTGAAATTTTTCAATTTATTTCAAATTATGCAGACAAAGAAAATATCATATCATATCATAAAATGTGAATCGGAATCTTCACGCAGAGAATATCTCTGCGTCGACCTCAATTCGGTGTTCTGCATCGCCTCCATTTCGAGCAGCACCTGGAGCCCCAGAGCTCTAGGACAAAGCAAAAGCAGCAAAGCAGCATGGCAACGACATACAGCGACAGTATCCAGGACATGTCCTCAAAAAAAATGGCGTCCCATAGGGGTGCCGGTGAACTAAAGTCCTTCATGGGCGTCAGGCGCAGCCTCACCATGTCGTAGAAGCTTCTGTCTAGCCAAAAGTTAAGGAAACCGAACTCCTTTTGCCGCAGTATGTGCTCCTCGAAGAGCTCGCGGTAGGGCAAATGGCGGCGAATCGGCAGGCTGAAAAAGAAGAAGCGGTTGATGCAAATGTCGTCTGAATAGTAGAAGACAGGCTTCGCGAAAATCTTCTGCTGTTCCTCGTAGGTTTGCCAGCGCATGTCCGTTACCGGAAAGATGAAGCTGGCATTAAAGGATTCCCGAAGCGAAACAAACTCGCTGTAGTCCTCAATGATGTGGGTGCGATCCTTGCTCAGCTTCTGGACTCCTTCATGCCCGGAGTCATGCAGGAACTTCATATCCGCTCTGTTTATGGCCACCTTGTAGCGGGAGTGTTGCACATCGTTGATGGAACGGAGCAGGGGCTCGGGCGGCGGACTGGTGAAGAAAGACTGCAGATATGCCTCGTACATGGTGGTCATCATCACACTCGCGAAGCACAGCAGAGAGCAGACGAGCTTTAGTTGCTTGCTGGAGTTACGGGGAAACGGATAGGACTGGCCCAGGAGGCCGCGCAGACTCTTGTCGTTCAGCAGGATGTTTGCCAGAGTGAGACCTTTCCAGGACAGCTGCTGGCTGTAGATCAGAAGGAGCGAGAACAGGCAGAACAGAACGAAAATGATGCCCATGACGAGGGGATCCACAATGATCGTGTATAACAGTCGATATGGCACCTTGGGCGGATGCGGGACCATGTAACAGAAGCTTCCCGTCAAATACGGATAGGTGAGAGTGTCGAAGTTCGATCTTAGCCAATTTGTATCCAGGGCCATTCCAATGTCCAGGAGATCATCCCCCGCCCACTTGGATATGTTCCTAAAGTAAGGGGTCTTTCCGCCCTTCGATCTCATATCCGTGGTCATCTGTACTCTGGCATTTACCATCTGGGCGAAGTTGTACATCAAATTGGCCACGAAACCAACCATTTTCTCCTCCCCAGTCCTCGCATCGCGATCCAACATCGACCGAGGGGCCAATTGATCCGCCAGAGTTTTGATGGGGGCCCCGTGCATGTTTTTGAATTGTTCCACAAAAATTGGTCTATGATCGAGGAGTTTCAGCTCCTTAAAGTTGAGCTCTTGAAAGCAGCGACAGGTGTAGATGATGCCCGAATGGATAAAGTCCTCCTTCACCATGGCCACGTTGTATTGCTCTCTGGTCGAATAGTCGTCGCATACCTTCTCTGGCTGAGTGTCTTGCTTTAGGTACAGCAGGCGCCTTTTCACTTGCAGCTTCATCAAAGTGCGATTGTTCTGCTCCCTCTCAGCAGTGGCTCCACAGCCCAAGATCAGTGTCGAGCTGCTGAAGTTCCAATCGTAGTCGGTGCTGCCCGAGGACGCCAGCACAGTGGAGACTTCCAAGCGTTTGGACAGCGCATGGAAAACACACTCCTGTCCGTAGATGAGCAGAGTGTCGAAGTCTTCCTCAAGACGCAGTCTCAGGAGCAGGCGTAGCAATGTTTCCCCCAGTTCCAGCTCATTCTGATTGGTGATATCTGAGAGTTGGCCACCTACAAGTACGAGGCAACAGATTAGAACTGCAATCTCACACGAGGCCATGGTGAAACTGTTGAGAAATCCCTCGATGCAGTCACTTTTGGTAACGCCAGTGTTTGGGCCACTGATTGCTTCCCTGGCATGCAGTTTTCGTGTTCCTCGCAGTGTGTTAACATGGGTCGAGTGTGGACATGGCTCCGCAGCTGTTAAGGTCAGAGCGGTGAACGTGTCCGTGTCCGTGTCCGTGCATGGGCAATTAGCTGATTTATTAAAAATGAATTAGTTCGAATGGGCGAGCAAATAAACGCTTTAGATGGTCTCGTGATAAGTAGCTGTTAATTAATGTTGGAGGATGGGGACGCCATTCGGCTTCTTCCCAACCAAAGCTCGAGGATAAAGCAGCAGCAACTTATTCCGATGGCTGCGCCAAAGAGCTTCAGTATCCAGGAGATGTCCTCCACCAGAATGGCCGGATCAATGTGCGGCGGCTGGCTGTAGTCCCTCATGGGCGTCAGACCCAGCCTCACCATGTCGTAGAAGCTCTGGCTCTTCCAGAACTGCACCAGACCGAACTCTTGCTGCCGCTGCATGTGCTCCTCGAAGTGGTGCCGGTAGGGCAGGTGACGGCGCAGCGGGATTTGTAAGTACAAAAAACGATTGAAGCAGAGATCCAATGAGTAGTAGAACATGGGCTTCTTGAAGATCCTCTGCTGATCCTGGTAGGAGCTCCAGCGATCATTGGTTACCGTGTAAATGAAGCTGTCATTAAATGAATCGCGCAGAAGCATGAACTGATCCACCTCTTCGATGACCAAAATATGATCCCTGCGTAACTGGCGAAGGTGGGAATTGTTTTTGGCGGTGAGGACATTCAGCTCGAATCTACTGATGGCGAGCTTGTGGCGGGAATTGCTCACATCCGGGAAGGTGCGTAGGGCCGGCTCGGGCGGAGGGAGCGTGAGGAAGGACCCAAGATAGGACTCGTACATGGTGGTGATCATCAGGCTAGCGAAGCACAGAATAAAGCAGACGAGCTTTAGCTTCCTGTTCGAGTTTCGCGGAAACGGAAACGACTGCCCCAAGAGACCGCGCAGGCTCTTGTCGTTCACCAGGACATTGGCCAGGGTCAGGCCTTGCCAGGACAGCTGCTGGCTGTAGATCAGCAGCGCTGAGAGCAGATAGAAGAGCACGAAGATGATGCACAGCACCAGTGGATCCACTATGATTGCGTAGATCTGGTTGTATGGCAGCCTGGCTGGGACCGGAACCATCAGGCAGTACGATGTCAGCAAATAGGGATAGCTTAAAAGATCCAAATTCGATACCTGCAGAGATGACACTATGGTAGTGCCAATGTCCAGACGATCCTTCTCCACCCCCCTTATTATGTCCGTATAGGACGCCTCCTGTTCGTCATCTTTCCATCGCTGATGAAAATCCAAGGTGGCATTTACCTTCTGGGCGAAGTTGTTCACCAAATTGGCCACGTAACCAATTATTTTCTCCTTGCCGCTCTTCGCATCCACGTACACCATCGTTCGGGGGATCAGTTTGTCGGTCTGTGTTCTGATTATGCCACCTCGCATGTCCCGAAAGTGCTCCACAAAAATTGGTCTATTTTCGCATAGGTCTCGCTCCTCATAGTTGGGTTCTTGAAAGCAGCGACAGGTGTAGATGGTCAGCAGCTGATCCACGCTTGATTGCACCATCGCAACGTTATGCTGCTCCCTGACAGAGTAGTGGCCGCAGACTGTCTCTGGCTCAATGTCCTCGTGCAGATATATCAGACGTCTTGTCATTTGCAGCTTCATCAAAGTGCGATAGTTCTGCTCTCGCTCGGCATTGGCCCCGCAGCTGAGAATAAGTGTCGAGCTGCTGAAACTCCAATCGAAGTCAGTGCTGCCCGAGGACGCCAGCACTGTGGGTACCAACGAGTGCCTCAGCATTGAATGGAATACGCAGTCTTCTCCGTAAATGACCAGAGTGTCAAAGTTCTCCTCCGCGCGCAGTCTCAGCAGCAATCTTAGCAATTGTTTCTCCAGTTCTACTTCCCCGTGAATGCTCAATTTAGACAGTTGGGCACTCGTCAACACCAACACCTGCCCGAGGCAGCAGAGAATCAGAACGAGCCGTCCTGAAGTCATCGCGAAACTGTTTCCCAAATCCTGCGGGGCCGCAACTTTTTGTGGCACAACCAGTAGCAGGGTATGTGGCTGTCATGCTATTTTCATGTTCAATACATTTCGTTCGGGCACGACCCATGCAAGGGTAATTAGCGACTGCACATTTATCTCGTACTGATTGGACGGAGAGAATGTGAGCGGCTCCACGCACAGCCAATTGTTGGACTTGTTGCTCAGCTCAGACGCGTGAGACTGCCTCATTTGAATGGGGCTTGTGGGGCTTTTAACAACTTCCGCTCCACAGCGGTACTCCAACTCCAACTCCAACACCAGCTCCATCTACAGCTGCACTTCCATTTCAAATGGGATCGAAAGTGTAGCATGTTCAGCAGATGGATCGCAGCTGAGAGCAATTCGATTGCTGAAATGAAATTTTCCGGCAATTTGGGCAAAGTCAAGCTCATTGCATTCGATTTTCGTATTGACTTTGACTGAGTCCCTCATCGAAAGTGGGGAAATGCAAACATTTCGTTGTGTGCTTTTAATTGCAGTGCAAGTGCAAGTGGATTTCAATTATTCAAATGAGTCGCTTCCCTGGCATGCCACTCGAAATGTACCCTCTGGGGGCTGCACTTCCGAATTTTCGCTACTCCAAAACTGGTCTAGACCATGTCGCCTTAATGGCGAACAAACGACACGGAGCCAGACCAGCAGAGGGAGAAGGCCAAGAGGAGGCCGAACTGGAGCCGAATTTCTTCTGCTTCATCATCATCTTGTGCTGATATCGTGGCTTTATCTCTTGGCCTGCCTTTTGCCATTTGGCGCTCTCTGCTGCTGCTGCTGCTGCTGCTGTGGCTGCTGATGTTCGGAATGACGTTTCAGCGAAAGTTGTTACGTTACCATCGACAACCAGCACCGACGACAAAACACTGAAGGCCTATGCAAAACCGGTCGGTCATTGATTTTTGGTTGCTGCAAATTGTCTGGCCATGACCAGCTCAGGAGGGAGCGCACAGCGCACAGCTCACAGCTCACAGCTCATCTCCAGCTGCAGCTGCAGCTACAAAAATGTTTTCTTGTCACTTGTTTTGCTCCACACTGCGTATACTCGATATGACCGCAACGACTTTGGATGGGATGGAGTGAGCGCGAGTGTCGGTGCGTGGCTAATTTTCAGCTTAAGGCTGACTGTGTCCACACAGCTAAGCGAGTCGTCACCCCAGATTAACATTGTTCATATATGTTCAAAATAATTATTTGTTCAATACGCAAACTCCAAAAGAAGCCGATCAACTCAATCCGATGGAAAACTCTGGCAGGTGAACTATGAGCACTACTTACTATATAAACAGAATCTCTGTTAATTTATTTCTATTTAAACAAGTCTTTTACATTTATGGTGACATGCACTCGGCATTGCAAATCGGAACCGAGTGGCACGAGATGGTTCAAATATTTTCTCACAAAAAAACAGAAAAAAAAAGTGAAATAAATAATAATTATTAAACTTGCCTTCCCGTGTCTGTTTCTGTTGATGAATGGTAATGGTATGTTTAGATAAAGTAAGATAAAGTCAAACCAAAGTGAGCATAATTTCCCGCAACTTTTCAGGTGTAAGTTACACAAAAATTATAGTATGTATATGATATCAAAACAATGCCGCTATTTCTTAATTAGTTAGCAGATTGGAAAGAAAATTAAGATTACATACTTCTTGGATTTTATGTACCTCTAATCAGTGTTATTGCATGTTTCTAAAGTGCATTTATATTTAATTAAATATATTTTAAATTAAATGCAATTTACTAAGAACGATTTCCCAGGCTAACGCCCATTAGGTTGGCTCACATTATTCATTTCCTTTCACTTCTTGGACAAGCTTGAAAATTGCTTTTAACCCAGGGGGCTATAAACAAGCCCAGCGCCACCGAAATCTGCACAATCTGCTCATTATGTCTTCGATTGTGTTTTTGTTTTTATTTTTACTTTGTATGTTATTTTATGTATTGTTTTTCTTGCTTTTGGCGGATTGTATTTTTGGCGTGGCTCTCTTAGCGGTAATGTGCCCACTTTGGGCTTGTTTGTCGGACATTTTGCCGGCGTTTTTAACACACATTGACCAGGGCATTGTTGTAGATTCGTTTTGCTGTCTGGCGGCACAATTCCAGCTTCAGTTCGTGGCTACTCTCTTTCATTTCGTTTCTTTTCCCCCAATAGGATGGGATCGGTGTAGATTGGAGGCTGAAGCAGTTGCCATTGAAAGTAAAATGAGCCGTTGGCATCCAGATTCACTTTCGATGCTTTGATTGAGAATACTTGAGTCCGGTATTGGAATCTTCAGGTGAGCATTAAACTCACCTCGTGGGGAGCGTGGCAAGAGTATCTTCTTCAGCCTTGGCTCTCTCTGCTCGCTTCTCTTTCTCCGTCTCTCTCTCTCTCTCTCTCTCTTTTTCTGTCTCTCTGGCAGTTGCTTCGTCTTCGTTTTGGCCAAGTTGCGAGCCGCCGTCGACTTCAAGTTTCAGTTACAATTCGGCAGCGACTCGGCCTGGTTGCAATTCCCTCGATTGCTCCGCGCGTGTCTCTTTGTGCTTGTGCGTGTATCCCGAAATATAGCCACAAGGATATACCAATAAAGTGGGTGCAGTGCGAGTCTGGAGATATAGTTCCCATCTCAACGCCAATCAGTGTATTTTCCTGGTGCTTATCGAGACGATTTTCATTTTCAGCTGCTGCCTCATTTGGATAAGGAATTAGTTTTCATCCTGTCGCGATGAGAACTCTGCCATTTCTGGTAAGTTGCAAGCCCAGAAACTTAACTCACAATTAAATGGGAATTTATATAACAAACCACCACTTGGGGAGGTGTCAACGCTTGCTTGACCTACGGCCCTGCGACCTGCCCCAAGCCCCCCCTGGGGAGTCACTCTCTTGATCATTGACATTGACAAATAGTGTCATTACATGGTGGCAAACAGCGACCGGAGTAAGCCAAGTGTAAATTGCCTTCCGGCTGCCTCAACACTCGGCACTCGGCAATCTTGCCTTTGCCTCCAGACTTTAATTTGGCTCTTGTTACGCGAAGAAATGTTGCCCTATCTCGTGGATCTCATACTCGAGTGGCTCCACATGTGGTGGGGGTGTGACCCGCCTGCGAATTGTCTCATTGCCTATTCCCTGCCGTGCACTTGTTAGCACTGCCTCAGGCACTGATTGGAGATATTTCCAGGGTCACATTTGCTCTATTATTATTGCCCACAAATAAAGGCAAGGGGATTCTATCCACAAAAAATCTCTAAGTACTATTTGCTTGCCCAATCGTTTCTCTGCAACATCAGCAGTCTGATTTCTGTTTGACTGCTGCACGAGTAGAACCGAACCAACCTATTGGCGCAGCTAGCTGAACTCATTAAACATCTTCATCTGCATCATCAGCAAAACCAACATGAGAGTTCCAACTGTCCTCCTTTCCATCTTGATCTTCCTCTTCCATCAGCCTCTTCGTCTCTGTCTCTGTCTCTGTCTCCGTCTCTGTTTCTGCATCTTCGTCTGCCTTTCAAAATTGAGGCGCCAAACGACCATCAGATTTGGCTTCAATCTCCATCTTCATTGGTTGTGTGTTGTGCAAAGGCATCTAAAGATGACTCTAGACTTTTGCAGCCGAAAAATCCCCCATGATGATCATTAGTGGCTGCTGCCATTGGGGTCCATCACATGTGTATGTGCATATGTGTGGACATGTGTGTGTAACCTTTACAAAAGTCTTGTAAGGCGCTTCATTTATCGAACTATTGCAATTCGGTCTGAATAGAGCAGAGCAGAGCAGAGCAGAGGTACTCGTACAATAAATGCCAAAAGCTGGCCCAGATAAACATTATTTCAGTTGTGTAGAAAACCATTTCATGGCTAATTTTCAGTCGCATAGAAAGGAAAATGCTGATTGTCATTGCCCGATGTTTGCGTTTGAGTTTGCGCTCACAAGAAGTGGCAGAGGGGGGGAAGAACTGCCTGGCTTTCTGTGCTTGTGCTGTCCGACTGGGGGGGCTATGCTATGCTCACGACACCGCACACTTCAGCACCTGCTGCTGCCCCTGGGCCCCATCGCCACTCTCCACTCTCCCCTCTCCACTCTGACAGTGCCCCCAAATAGGCCGAGACTGAGCATATTTTAATATGCTGCACGCATGCAAACCGACCATTTGCTGCCTGCCGCTTGGAGTGTAGAAAGTTGATTGGCATTATTTTGTCTCTGGCTTCGTTTCGATTATTATTATGTATCTAGATTGCCAGCAGAAAGTTTCGTTTCAATTGCGACGACCACTGCAGCCACTAATCTACAGCCTCGGCCCCCAGATGATGCAGCCAGCCCTACTACCAGGTCCCGGAATGGGCAAGGAATCCACCTTTCACTTCTCCTTCCTCACTTCCCCACTGCAGCTCAATTATTTCCATTACGAGTATTGAAATCGAAAGATGCGCCCGCTGCCCGTCCGGCTTAATGGACCGTCCAGCCGAAATTCAGCGGCAAAAATGGTTATAAATAAAAAGGAAAAACTTTTGCAATTGAAGACGAGTTGTTAGCAGCCAGTTTTTAGCTGGACAAATGTGAATGTACCTGTACCCGTACCGGGATGGAGTCGGGCATTATGCAGCTTGACGCTGAAGTTAGAGCTACCTCAGCGAGGAGACACACGAAATTCATATCTCGGAATGCGGTTTTCGACCGCAGACAATTTTCTGTTCGTAGCGCAATTACAATACCCATCCACAATTCGGTGCTGGATGATGCGGGGATATTTATTTTAATTAAATGTTACTCAAATAACCGTAAGCAGCAGCTTGGACTCGAATCTGACCTGAGCTGCAGTTTGGGGGCTGCACATGAATTTCACATGAATATTAATAATGATCCGAAATTGCTCGGATGTCGATTAGGTTGTCTACTAATTTGTGGCCCCAACTTGTTTGCGGCTCTTAATTATTTGACTTCTTTCTCTATTTGACATTCGCCGGAGAGGGGAACGGGGGACCTGACCAGTGGCAGAGAGAGAAAGAGAGCATTGCATAATAGTGCGTCATGAATAGTTTGAAAATGCGGCCAGAGTTCATCGCGGCTCCGGATGGCTATCAGCGGCGACCAAGTTTGCTTAATTTATGCAAACTCTTTCTTCGAGGGTTACTGATTGTTTATTTGATTTTTATTTATTTTATGCAACGACCTTGCCCAGCGCTTTAGTAATTAAAAAACTCAAACCGAAATGCTAAGCTTTATTTTTTTAGAGCCTGCTGCCACCGAACGCCCTCAACCGAAATTAGTTTTTTGGATGGGTTATTTAATTAGTTTGGGCTTTGGTTTGGGTTTTGGTTTTGGTTTGATTGGTTTCGTCTGGCTGCTGCATTGGGAATCTCCTTTCCATTTCCACATTAGCGCCCCAAATGCGTGTCTCGAGTTCGTTGCCTAAGTCTTTTGTTTGCCAGCCACTGTTTGGTTTCGCCGCCCGGTGCGGCATGGCGGCTGTGTAGTGACAATATTGGCACTAGCCGCCTAGCTGATTGCTTGTAACCAATTGTGGATATGGATACTTACATGCTTACATGCCTGCAAGTATCTGCAGACACACAGATATACACACACACACACACATAGACAAAGTCTGGACGTTGTTTACTGTCGTTTGCATAACCCGGCTGTTGTCGCCGCCGCTCACTCATACGCAACATTCGTTCAATTGCATTTCAATTTGCTTATTACTCGGCAATTTGCAATTGACACACTGCAGAAATATGAATGGAAATTCCATGTGACAGAGCGACAGAGCGGCAGAGTCCACAACAAAAGTTGGTCAAATTACAATTACGAATTGAGATCTCTGGGCGACAGTCTGTTACAATTGTTTGCGCCCCCATTTGAATGTTGTGAAGGAAAGGCGCAATCAGCTTGAGAGCTGCCACCAGCCGCACTCATTTGTGGCTGGGATTCCTTGGAGTGGTCGGACAACTTTTACATTCGACCGGCATGCAGTGCTGCATCATCTTCCATCATTATGCAGATCAGCCTGGCTGGCGGGCCTCACGCACAACGCTCTGGGCATGGGCCCCCCCCCTCTCATGCAAGATGCTCCAAGATACTCCAAGCCGAAGCACGCACACGAAAACCTGCTACTTGTCGGCACGTTGCCGCCATTGAGGCTGCCAGGTGGACCTTCTTCATTATCATCTGCTGCTTTGCTGCTTTGCTGCTTTCTCGCGGCCAATTCATGTCACGTTGAGGCAGATTCGACCCCATCAGAGCAGCAGAGCAGCAGAGCAGCAGAGCAGCAGAAGCATAAAAACACTTTCATTTTTCATTTCATTTAATCATTCATCATATTTCTCATCTCTGCCTGCCATCTCCCATCTCCCATCGTGGTTGGCCTTATCTGAAGCGCCCAAAAGTGTTTATGGCCTGGTCCACATTTTTTCCCGCTGGCGTGTCGCTTACTTCCGTTTTCGGTGGTGTCGTTGGTGTCGTTGGTGGTGGCTGGTGGCTGGTGGCACTTCTGGAACACAATGACGACTGCATAAAAAACGATAAATGTTTTATTTTCGTACCTGCCGTTTTTTTTTTTACACCATTTCGGCTCGCATGCCACGTTTGTCGCTTGAATCTTTCGTTTGTTTTCGCCAGGTCTCACATTTTCTACACCCCGATTCGTGCGCAGCACTCACTTCCTTTCTTCATTCCTGCTGGTCGCGCTACAGTTATTCCATTTGGACAGCTGTCTCAGTGTCTCAGTCGCAGTCGCAGTCGCAGTGTCAGACGCCTCTTATGCAACCAGGGCCTGGGATTTAATTATAAGGATTTACCAGATTGTCGGCAATTTGGCGAGAAAACGAACGCGAAAGTGACGCATTATTTACATCCGCTTCGGTTTTGCCTCTCCGCTGCTTTCAGTGGTGTATTGGGAACCATGGGAAATGATGTCAGTTAGGGCTGGCTATACGAGCTCGTGTGTTGTGTATGTTCTCAGAGCTGCCGCAGCTATGGCTCCGCTTCCCCATAATTTGAATGGACATTAGGTATCATGCAACTTTTTGCATCATTTGGCGATGACTGACGTTCCTGGCCCACTCGCGTAATTGGCCTGCAGACAAGCCACAGTTCGGAGTTCTTGGTGGCAGCGACAGGGCGAAGACTCAGCTAACTGCCTTCGTCGTGGGGTGGTTCACACAGAGATGACTCTCAAGTTGTTGGCCAGAATAATAGTGCCGTGTCACATGCTGATGGCTCGGCTCTGTGTTGCCAATCCACAACTACATCCACGCGCATTCACATGGCGGACAGACTAACAATGGCAGATCAACTGGCACATATCATAACTGCTCATCATCGGTAGCATGATTGCAGTTGAGGGCTGAGGGCTGAGATGAGATTGCCAGCGGCTAATGGCAATAACTGTGTGTCTAGACAACAAAGCAGCCGAAAATAAACACAATTTACATGAGAACTTGTTCAGCTATTTGTCAGTTGCAACTTGTCTGTGGCAGCCCTAACTGGGGGCAGCAGTGGGAGCTCTGTGAGATTTCACTTGGCAAATCGGCAAACGCCAACACAAACAGCAAAAGCTGCAAAGCAAAAACAAAACAAAAAACCACCGTTGAACGTGCCGCTTGTCAGCACAGACACCAAGCAAACCAAGCCATCCAAGCATCCAGCGTGGCTGCCACTTGGCAGCTCATGCCACATGCCACATGCCACAAGTTGTGTTAGTCCTGCGGTCAACATCAGGTTGTCCATGCCACTGGCCACTTGTATGGCCATTACCATTACATAATATCTTCACTTTGGGTCTGGCTTTGATTTACACTTACCCACTAAATGCTTGCCAAAGATTCGGAGGCTTCTTCTTCATCGTTGCATAATTCTTCTGGCCAAATGAAGGAAAAACTCTGGAGGAGCAGAGCAGAAAAGAGGAGAGGAGAGGAGAGGCTGACATCAGATTTATTGGCCTGTAAACATTTTCGTTATGTTAATGTGTGAGTTCATTTTTGGGCCCTGGCTCGAGATGAATTTTGATGGCTTTTTGCCTTGCTGACTTGACTGTCTGTGTCTGTTTCTGTGTCTGGTGTGTTAACTTTCTCCCATTGTTAGCATCTTTCTTTTCATGAACTGCTTTCGGCTGTTTGCGCCAGCTGCTGTCGATGCCCATGTTGATTTGATTATTTCTCTACTGTTTCATATTTCCCCCTGTGTCTTCCCCAGTGTCTTCCCCTGTGTCTTCCCCTGTGTATCATTGTTTTGCCAAATCTTTGACATTTGCTTATTGTATGTGGTCAGCAGAGTGTGTGAGTGGCCAGCCAGGCTTTCATTGTATCTAGACTAGAGTCGAGTCGAGTCGAGTGGAGTGGAGGGGACTACCGAATACCGAATGCCGAATGCCGAATGGCTTGAGGTGTAGGTCAGTTAGAGGGACAAGTATGGTAATGTCTTCTGCCTTGGCTGTGACTTTGTTTGGACAGTTTGTATAGGAAGTCACTGTTGGATAATAATCGGACTGTTTGTGTGGGTTTGACAATGCCCGCGATTAGCATATGTCGCGCACAAAGGTTATGTTATGGCATAGCCCCACCACCCGAAAATACGCATGGTCTATACGGAAAGTGAGTGCAGGAATGGGGACCTAATTATTGCAATTATGTGCTGTCAAAGTGCGTGTTGAGGCTGCATGCAAAGATGCTCGTACCTATAAAATAGACAAACACAAAAGGCAGTCGCGACAACAAAAGGTTGCCTCAGGAGCTGTCAAAACTCGGTCTCACAGCTTCCGTTTTGACATGGCACGGACGGACCTAGCCTAGAGTATGGTATGTATACAGATAAAGGCCAAAAACAATGTGACAAAGATGCCATAATCAGCATCAACTACCGTGAGATTGCGTATACCAAGATTGCCTCCGCCAATCGACAAGCGAGATACCTCAACTGGGTTAGGTTAGACCCGCCATGTGGATGTGAATGTGGATGTGAATGTGAATGTGGGTAACTCTCATTGTCGGTGGAGTGTGTATTATTTTCACTTCACTTTCGGCTCAGCCATCAAAATGTGTTATATACTTGTGCCCCATTATATAGATACAGATACAAATCAAATGTCAAGCGCCCACACAGTGGGGCCGACATCTGCAGCCCAAATGCAGTTTGGAAAGTTGAGAAAATTGAGCATGGGCCAAGTGAAACAGAATGGGGTTTTCCTTCTGTCTCTTTGGCATTTTTGCGAGGGCGTATCTTCACTACTGGCTGCTCTCTGAGGTCTGGTCTGCAGGCTGTTCAATTGAAATTCGTCGCCGCACTTCGGGGCAACTTTCACGGCTAAGCCTGTGACTGCTGATGACTCAATGCACTGACACGGCTAGGCTGATTCGTTGATTTGCTGATTCGCTGATTCACTGATTCACTGATTAACCATATCGCGATCGCGCAAAAATTAACCGCCAAAAGAGTCTGGAGCACTTGAGGTGAGGTCTAGCCTTGCCTTTAACCCATCGAGTTGTCGGCGTGTCATTTCTGTGGTCAACAACTCAATCTCAGCCTCTCCATCACAGCAAAGCCGCAGCCGCCACTTGACATTGACCCAATGCAGAGATGGAATGACGACAACACACATCACATCATCCAACCAACCATCCATTCAATCCCACTTTGCTGGGCTAATTTCTGATGCTCGCTTTTATGGCGTCTTTAATTCGCGTCTTTTGGCCAAGCCAAGCCAATTCACAAATTTGCTTTGGCATCTTCTGTACAATTTGCGGTTGGTAAAAGTGTTTGCTTAGCTGCTTTTGGTCGGGGTCTCGACCTTGTCCCAAGCTAAATCCATTAAAATATTTTCATGTTTGCAGGAATATTTTTTTGGAATTGGAAAGTTTGTTGAAATTTTCGAGATTTTCCACGAGCCGACCAATTGTTGTTGCTCTGACTTGTATCTTTGGACAAATCTGTTAGATTCCTCTTACAATACGTATGTATGTCCATATATGGATTTAATTTGAGGCTGCGCTTACATATTCCAACGATATCCAACCGGATTTCGTATAAATATTTCGTAATATGTAATCTCCGTTCGAATTAGTTTTGCTTTTAGGGCTGACTTGCAGCTGTAGCATCTGTGGCATCTGCCTAAGCTAGATACGTATCTGGGAGATAAATTTGAGCTTCACGGAATTTTAATTAAATATTTTGGCATTTGCGAGAGCAGAAATAAAAGGTGTAAACTTTCTGTTCAATTTTCAGTTGGCGCTGACGCTGCTGGCCATTGGAGCCGCCGCAGCAGCTTCCACCACCACCACCTCTACCACCACTTCTACCACAACAGCAAAGCCAAAGAGCGGGTCCAAGCCGAAGGCTGAGGCTGACAAGCCAACCAAGAAGCCATCACCATCACCATCAAAGCCGTCGCCCACGACTGCCACCACACGGCAATCGAAAGCGCTGAAGGCAGCATCGAATCCGGGCGAGAACCGCGGCAAGAGGACGCTCTACGACTTTGGCAATGCCGGCTATCTGTATCCGGAGGTGGCCAGCAGGAGGTCAAGCTATGTGGACAACACGGCCAGCTATTATCCCCAGACTGGCTACTACAGTGGACAGACCGCCATTGGTAGGTTGAATGGCATGGCAAAATGGCATGTGTTAAATAATTGTAAACGTCCCTCAATTGCAGCTCAATATCCAGGACACTTTGGTCCGGCATATGCGGCATATCCGCAGTACCTGGAGGCCCCTGAGCCCATCATCGAGATCATTATCAAAGATGCCAATGAGACCCTGGCCGAAGAGCCGGCCCAGCCGATAGTGACCAGGAAGAAGAAGAGGAAGGAGAAAGTCCACGTGTTCTATGTGAATTACAAGAAGGACCAGAACAACAAGCTGCACCTGGAGTCGCCGATAGCCTCCCTGAACAACGATGACAACGAGGAAGAGGAGGAGGAGGAGGAGGAAGAGGTGATCCAGTATCCAGTGACACCTCTGCCACCACTGAAACCCACCACCCTGCGCACCATCATCCACCCCGACTCCGAGAAGTTTCACAGCAACTCCGGAATCCACGTCTCCTTCGGTGCGGAGAACAAACACCAGACTGGGCACATTCTGGAGGAGCACGATGCGGAGAGCATTCAGCGCCAGGTGGTGGCTCTGCCGCTCCCAGTGAGCTCCACGGGCCTCAAGGCGCAGGATGGCGGCTATCCCGGTAACACCCGTGCCGACTATGGCAGGGAGAGCAGCTTCGGCAGGAGCCCAGGACCCATCGCTAATCTGCTCTTTGGAAGTGGAGGCAGCGGCAGCTCCAACAACTACCACCAGCAGTCACCACTGCACTTTCAGGGCCAGCAGCAGCTTCCCACGCAGCACGGAAGCAACTATTTCAGACCCCCCTCCGCCCTGGTGGGACCTCCGCACTCCTATCAGAAGCCAGCGCCACAGTCACAGTCACAGCCACAACTGCAACAGTCACAGTCACAGCCACAACTGCAACTGCCACAGCAGTCGCGTCCCAGCATCACGCAGCAGCAGCTGCCATCCACCTCGTCCCAGACGATCTTCAATAAGCTGGTCCAGCAATCGCAATACTACATCAATCACAATCAGCAGTATCCGTCGCATGTCCAAAGTCAGCCAAACCAGCAGCAGCAGTACCAGAAGCCACCCCACAAGCAGGTCCAGGTGCCGTTCTTCCCCACGATTCCGCCCAAGACGCAGGACCTGTCCTCGCGACCCAGTCCATCGCCGTATCATCCCATCAAGTTCCGTCCAACGCCGGCTCCCACGTCGCACATCAAGCCCTTGCCGCTGCCTGTAAAACTGGACAATGCAAACTACCAGCAGCAACAGCAGCAGCAGCAACATTATCAGCCACAGCAGCAACAGAAGGTGCCACAGCCACAGCAACAGCAACATTATCAGCCACAGCAGCAACAGAAGGTGCCACAGCCTTATCAGTTCGTTCGACAGCCCCAGTTTGTGCAGCAGCCGCAGTTTGTGGTGCGCTCACCCACGCCTGTGCCGGAATATTATCCGCAGCAGCAACAGCAACAATCGCAGCAGCATCGTCAGCATCAGCAGCAGCAACAGCAGCAACAGAAGACCATTCAGAGCACCCTCAACTACTTCGACATCAAGCCATCCAAGGAGACAGAGCTATTGAAGTCCATACCCAAGTACGAGCAGCACATCATCGAGACCGTGCAGAACCCCATTACTCCCTCCCAAGCAGCAGCAGCAGCAGCAACATCATCATCCTCAGCAGCAGCAATTTAGTTACAGCAGCACACGTAATGAGGTGATCCATGATGTGCCCGCTCCGAATCTCGCACCCTCTGCCCAACAGCCAGTCTCAGGCCATTACATAACCGCTAGCTCAGGGAGTACCCAACAGCAGCAGCAGCAGCAACAGCAGCAGCAGCAGCAGCAGCAGCAGCAATCTCACTTCGGCAGCTTTCCCAGCGAGGCTCCGTCTCAGCCTCCCGTCTATGCAGAGTCCACGCATGGCCAAAAAGTGATGGTGGTCACACCCGTGCCCCCATCGGCCAACTTTGTGACCTACAGCCAATACTCTCAGGCGGCCAATGAGCCCGTGGTCCATGTAAACTCCCAGGCAGCCGCTTTGCAGACCCAGGCCAGCACTCACTTTGCTCAGCAGCCCCGGCAGCCAGCTGGCTCCCAGATCAGCGCTCCCTCCACGGACCACTCGCCCTTCAGTGTGTCCACCTTCCACTCGGATGTGTTCAAAGAGCTCGAGCAGCGAAACCAGCAGGATACGCAGCCACAGCTGCAGTCACAACAAGTGCAACAGCAGCAGCAGCAGCAGCAACAGCAGCAACAGCAGCAACCACAGCAACAACACCCAAGTGCCGCTTCAGTTCCAGTTCCAGTGCCGATTGCTGCCCCATCTGCTTCCTCTCCCAATGGAAAGGCCTCGCAGACGCTGCTCCAACTGCCCGACGAAGTACCCGAAGATCTGCGCCAGCAACTCTTCTCCTCTGGCATCCTGAACAACGCCGACATCTCGATCCTCGACTACGACAAGCAGGGGGACATTGCCCTGGAGAACCTGCCCGCCGAGCATCTGCAGCACTTCTATGGAGCCGGCGGCGGCGCCCAGATTGCCGAGACCAACAAGGTGCTCACCGTGGTCAAGCCAAATGGGGACAAGGTGGCGCTCAGCGAGAAACAGATTGAACGCGTCAAGCAGAGCAACTCCCTGCCCCAGAAGCAGAATCTGGACGTAAAGGTGGTCCGCTACGATGCGGGACAAGGCCAGAGCGTCAGCGAAAAGTACGTCCGCACCGATGCCACCGTGGTGAACCCCGTGGACCTGACCGAGCGACAGCAGTACAACCGCTACCTGCCCCTGAAGATAAACGGAGCCCAGTTCCCCATTCCAGACAGCGAGGAGCTACTGGGCAAGAAGATCGTCAGCGTGGTGGTCCTGGCGCCCGTCGAGGCCCAACCAGCGACGACGAGCAGTGAGGGGCGCAGTGTGGACAACAAGGAGGTCAAGTTCTTGGGCGGCGATCTCATCAAAACCTTGGTGAAGAAGCCCACCAAGGACAACTTCAAGCGTTGGCTGGAGAAAGAGGCGCGCACGGACCTCGAGCTGCAGTCCGTTGTCCTGCTGGTGACCAGGTAAGTGTCTATTCCTCTCCCATGGTGGAGCAAATCTAACCTTGCCATTTCGTTGCAGATCCAGCGACTCAGCCGCGGATCCGGATCATGATCAGGAGATCTTCATGTATGACATCGGCACGGGCAGTATCAATCGTTTGAATGGGGAGCTCTCCAGCACGTTCGTCAGCGTGGCCGAGGAAAACGCCAGCAGCGAGGATCTTGAGCATGCCGCCACCCTGGATCCCAGCTCGCTTGAGTCCATGATGCACCTGCGGCGCAGATAGATTGAGTCGCCATCGCAGTCCACATGAAAATGCCATTTAGCTACTCTTCTACATCATCGTGCGCCCATTCCACAATTTCGCTTTATTTTTTTTGTACCCCTCCTTCCTTAGTTTTGTGTTCACTATCTTCTGTTCTGGTCTCTTTGATCTATCATCAGGTTGCACATTTTCCACCAAAAGAAAAGAGAATCATGCTTCATTGATCACGGCATTTCATTGCATCCCCTGCAACTCCTCTCGTAGTATTTCCATTTTGTAAATATTCTATGCTGATGTTACAATTATCTTAATTTAAGCTAATTTACGTAAAACAATCAAAATAAATAAGACAAAATGTAATCGTGTTGGATGGTGTTCTTCTTGGTGTCCTTCTTGGTGTTCTTCATCTTTATCCATTTGAATGAAGGTGGCGGCAAAGGCCACAGGTGGTTGCTCCCGCATGTGCGGTTGGGGGAGTGGGAGGAAATCCCATTTTGGAGTATGTCCGGTAATGGCTCTACACCACTTGGCCGTAAATATGTTGAACCTACAGAAATTGGTGGAACAATAATTTTCTTGTCCTCGTGAAACTGCGATTGCATTGCAGTTAAGCAAGGCCAACTGTAACCCCCTAGAGACAACTGGTTCAGTTATAAAAATACTTGATGGGAATATTATAAATTTCGCATGTCACATGGGAGAACCAACTGAATTTCAAGAGGATGCCATCCTTTATACCGGCTTGTGTGAGCACTGGCTCTGCTTGGACAGAACTACACAATTTTTGCGCCGTCGCACAGTGGGGCCTTTGGCCATTTCATCTTGCTTAATTAATAACTTCTGAACGAATCAAGATATCTTCATCAAAAAAATTTCGTTTAAAAGAAAAAACTTTTAAAATCTAGTATGCAAGAGTGCTGCAATGTCTAGAAGCTTTACAATAAATAGTCAAAGTTGAACTTTGTTTCCGTTGAATATTTGCCTGTTTGCGATGTGCTAAAGTTTGATTTTTTCCATCGATAAGAAATATGTACATATGTATATGGTTGTTATCACTACATATAATAATTTTAAATTTTATTTTTAATCAAATATAATTTTAAAAAGTTTACAAAATAAACTCATTTTTTTTCTTACACTTTTTTCAAAATTCTTTAATTTTTGCGAATGGCGTCGTGTCTGTCAAAAGCTGGCCGGTAAGATACTTGGGTGTTGTGGACAAAGCGCCATCTAGCGTTGCAATGTTGATGAGATGATTTTCTGTACACTAGATGGCGGGTGTTATGTAACATAAAATGTTAACAAGCCGTTTAATTTAAAAAATGTAAAGTTTATTCACGAAATACATTGATAACAACAGTGATAAATTAATTTAATCTTAATTTAATAAACTATTTCCTGACTACAACTTGGCTTTCAGCTGGACCATAGCGAGAGCCAATAAATTAGTCCCATTGGGTGAGCCTGTTAGAAAAAATCAGAAAATAATTTCAAATACAAATAACAGTGTGGATGAATGTTTACTATATCGCGCGGTCCACCACTGCCCGGTTTTCGGTGTTAAACCGTTCACGTGAACCCTACGGCATTTGGGCCAAGGTTAGCTGGTGGGCATCCCAGCCTCTGAGTGGCCACAACAAGACGCCAAACGTGTCTCTGTGAGCGACTTGATAGCAGGACAAGATTTCATCCAAGCCCCACAAATCACACGCATACGTGACACCGCTATCGCAGAGCGGGTGGCTCCAATGGAGCTGGACGACGTGACCAGAAGCTGTCGAAGAGCAGGCCTACACTAAGAGTCAGCACATCGCTCTCTTAATGACTCTCTCTCTATCTCATAGCCAGTTCGGCTTTATGGGCATGGCTGTAAGTGCAACAAGTCGCAGTCGGCGTCAGCGGCTGCGGCTGCAGCGCCTATAATTACTTGTAGTTTATTTTTAGCTCCACAAACTACGCGAGGCTGCAATGCAACAACCGGGCAACTGCAGCGCAACTCGTGTAGACTGGCAAACGTCCAAATGCAGCGAGCGGCAGCAATAACAACACAAAAACTGCAGTGCATAAAATGGGAAAATGGAGCCAGGTTTTTCATGCTGGCCATACCACATTACATACCGGCTGCAGTCGCTGCCGCTTCTGCTGTTGTTGCCATGTTGCCATGAGGTGAGCCGTAACAGAGATATTGCTGCTGGCCCGATCTGGCCCGATCCGGTCCCCTGCTGCCCAAACGGTTTGGTTTGTTTGCTTTCCCGTGTTTACCTTATGCAATGCTCAAGAGTTTTTCAGTACTTTGCTGCCAGACAAACAAATTGCAACTGCCGCCAACTGTCAAAGTTGTAAAATCTTTGAGATTATAACCAGTAATCACTCACTCTTTCAATATATTCAATGGAATACCGATACTATGTGTGTACATAAATATATGGTAGATCTAAGTAAATGTGGAGTTGTGTATCAACTTAGCTTTAGCCCACTTTCTGATTCAGTTAGCCTTGGGAACGAATCCCTGTCACCTCGCTTAAGGCTTAAGGTAAACTCACATTTGCTTTGCCACACACATATGCATATGTATGTATATATGTACATATGTATGCATGTGCAGATGTACGGGCATACAGATTGCATATGCATCTCTCTCTCTCATGTATGCAGATGTATTTCGTGCTCTCATCTCATCCCGTCTGACATATGTTGTTTGAACTGTTTTCGATTTTTTTCTACCGAACGAACGTCTTTTGCTGTAATTTTCGTATTCCGTCTTCCAACATGCAGGCGATATGGGTGCGTTCGTTTTTCCATACTCTGCTGTTTCCACGTCGCCCGTTGCCTCTCGACTTGACTCGTTTCAAAATTGGGTTACAGACCCCAGACCAGACCCCAAAAAACCAAGAGAGCGCACTCAGAAAAAAAATACAGAAACAAAACAGAATGCTAAAATCCGTTTGACGCCCGTAAGCTCCATGAGTCAGAACTGTTGTTGCACTGATTGCTGATGCTTGATGTTGTCGGGCGGGGGTGGCGGGGTAGGACACTTTTTTCGTGCTCAAGATTTCGATTTCTCTTTTAGTTGGTTGCTTCCTTGGCTTGGCTCTCCGTCTCCGTCACCGTCTGCTTTGTTGCTTGACTTGAGGTGTTACAGTTGTTTTTAGAGAAGAAGAGAAGTAATTTAAGAGCGCACTAAGCCAACCCGAAGCGTTTCATTCGATCGCAAAAGGTGTATCAAGGTGTGTATTTGTACAAGGTGAGGCAACGCGGCAAAGTGAGGTGAGCGAGAGCTTTTTTGAGAGTGGCCTGTTGCGTGAGTTCTAATAATACACTTCATTCCAATCTTTCAATTTAAATTTTACATTCCTTATGTATCTAAATAAATATTTAATCAAAATTAATTAATAATTAATAATCAAAATACAACTCATGTTCGAAGCACATTAATAACTGTTCTTACGTGAGTGAGACACGACTGGTGCAAAGAGAGCATGACCACTAATATGTTCACCCTACTTCCATGCACCTTGGCGTGGTCTTCGTCGCCGTCGTCGTCGTCGCGGCTGCGCCAAGCTCCAAGCTGCGCTCACAACGGTTTCATCAGTCGAAGTGATCAGTTCAAGTGCAAGCAGCCAGTCGAAGTTTTCGGCCCCCAGTCGTGTCGTTGTCGAGGGTGGCGCAGAGAGCCTGGCTCAGTTTCCAAAAAGGGCGCGCGAGTGAACGAACCGCACCCCCCAGTCCACTAAAATAGCCAGTGAATATTCGCGAATGGTTTTCCAATCGCTTTTATGCAACTATCTATCCCAGTGAATCGCAACTGTGTTTTTGTGGCCCCCGAGTGAAATCCAATACTAGAGCCAAAACCAAACGACGATCAACGGCACTTTAAAGCCGTTTTAATACTAAAACATAACCGTAATATAGCCGCGTCCCAACCCACACTATCGCAGAGAAAAACATGGCGACTTCTGCTGCCGCGTCGTCCGTCTGCGCCAGCTGTGGCGCCGGCGCAGGTAGCCATCGGATTCTGCACATTTACAGCGCGTGGGCGTTGATTACGCTGCTGGCCGCCAGCGCCGCCATCGTCCAGAGTGCCGCGGTCTCCTTTGGTTAGTTGGAAGCGTGTCTGGGAAGCGGCTGTAATTTTAATCGGGTCTCTATCTATATGTACATATATCCACTCTTCATCTCTTCTCTTTCTCACCACCTTCTTCATTGTGTGCAAATGTGTGAAGAAATTACTGGTACGAGCAAAAGGAAGCAAAGCAGCACGAACGAAAAATTTTCTGCAGCTCCAATTGGCAATTGAGGGGCTGGGGCTTCTATCTGAGGTATTTTTTTTTTAGTGGTCGGATCGGGGGAAGCCCCCACACAAAAGCGTCGTTGGGAGACTTTCATATCTCCCATGAGGTTTCCCGTTTCCCTTCTAATACCCTCTTAAATCCTCTCTTTAATCGCATATGAGTATGAGTACAATGCGCTGCGAACCACTGTCATTTTGTTGTGTGTGTTTTAATTTTGTCGTCCATTATTTATTGCCGTTTCTGTCTCGCAAACCGGTTGCCGTCTGGGCCCTGGTCCCACTCGATCTTAGCCGCAATTGACCGAGCCGTGCACATGGTGTTGTGTATTGTTTTGGCTCAATTTGTTACTGATTGTTTGCCATTTGGTTAGTCTGGAGGCTAAACTCGAGTGCTGTCCGTCTGATAAGCGTGCAATCTTCCACTGTTCGATTGAGCCATGAATCATGGCTGTCCCTAGGCCGAGATGGGAGAAAAAAGAAAACAAAAAAGACACGCGGAAGCATTGCGGCATGAAATCAAGAGTAATACGGATAAAAGAAAATAATTTTTGTTTTGTGAAACTTGAAACAGAAAAACTGAAAAACAGAAAACGCAACCCGAGCCGCGAGACAAGCTCGAGCGCGACCTCATTGTCATTGAAATACAGTTACGGGGATGGCAGAACAAAGACGGCAGAATGGCGAGCTACAGCTACAGCTACACAGCCACAGCACTACATGGCAGCACACTTTATTTCAGCGCCGATCTGCAGATCTTGCACAGTTGCAACATTAACCCTGAGACAGTGCTTAACGCGTTCCGTTGAACTCTATCCAAGCCTCTGTCTGACTCCCAGAGAGCAGCGATCGAATAATGGAAACTAGCGAGAAAGTGCGCAGCATTCGCAAGGGAATCGGAATCTTGATCTACTATATGGTGTTTACACACAATGTATACGAGTATCATATGGCTTGCCATACTATTCAAATTAGATTCGTTTTCTTTTTTTTTTTGGCAAGCACAACAAACCCAACCCACCCAGAGACAAGAAGCTTTATTTAACCATCTATAAGCATTCAAATATACCAATGTTCGTACATACATACATATGTATGAATGGCTTATATACTCACGTATGCAAACTGGTTTCCAGCTCAGAGTAGTTATATATGTTGTTGTTGTTGTTGTGAATATCAAATAGAATTAACATATGTTGCCAGCAGCCAGCCATGTGTAGAGGTTCTGTTTCCCCAAGTCAAAGTTTTTCATTTTATTTTAGTTGTTCGCGCTGTGGTGGCCGAAAGCTCTTTGCTATGCAATTCGATGTCATCTGGGTTCAATTATGTGGGTTTCTACTATCTACAATCTACAATCTTCCCTGCCACACCTCGACCCCCTCCAACCCCACAACATGCCACGCCCACTGGCTTTTCCAATTCAAATTGGAACTGAAAGTTGTTCAAGCAAAAAGAGAGACATGGCAAAAGATGAAGATAAAGATGGGTAGCAGCATTGGCAAACGGTTAATTAAATTGCAAATTGTCCAGAAAAGCTGCCATTTTGAGCTATTTTTCTTGAAATTATTTCCCTTTCCAATAAATCCCGTACTTCTTGCTATCCAAGTGGCAAAATGGCTGCTTTGGTTTACGTTTGCTGCCATTAGAAGGCATGTTCGACTGGCCTCTCCACTAACTGCTTGGCCAGCTAAGCAGCAAGAATTGCCGTTAGCTCTGCAATGTGCTGCATGCAACAGCAGCAGCAGCAGTGGCACAGGCAGTAGCAGTAGCAACAACAAATTCCAAGTTCTGTGCCTCTGCAGTTTGCTCGATTCTTGTTTGTTGTACCATTTATTTATTTGGTCGTTCTTTTGCTGAACAAACAGACAAATGACAACGACAACGACAACAACGACAGCACCAACAGCAACAGCAACACTAACAAGCGCAACAACATGATGACACATTCGCTGACCTATTAGGAAAATTGGCCAACGGGTATAGTGGCGCTTTATCCAAAGCCAAGAGCCGCGTCCAGAAGCGATGCTGGAGTAGATGATGCAAAGGGAGGGGTTGTGGTTGTGGACAGAGAGGTGGTCTGATGGCAGCGTAGAAATGTGCGAGGGCAGAGATAGAGACACAGACAGCGGCAGAGGCAGCAAAAGAGACAGAGGGACAAGCACTTAACCCTTGCCATTCTGACTTTGATAGTTGACCCAATTTTTGCAGTTTTACGAACAAACAAACATACAAAAAAAAAATATAAGACAGATGGAATACATTTCAACAGAAGAGTCGAAGATCATATGCCCTAAAGATGGGAGAACTGAAAGAAATTCTGCCCAACAATAGGAAAGTTATTAAGAATAATAAGCACAACAAAAATTATTACAATTATAATGAGTTTTCGAATAAATGTAGGGACAATGGCTCATCTGATTCACAGAAATACACATGTGAGTTTTCTTTTCTGGTAAAAAGGTGCCGAGTATTTAGTACAGATCAAAATAAAATAAATAAATGGGAAACCAATTCCAGCAATTCTGGAAAGGCTTCACTTCCTCGATTCTGATGCGTATGGCAGACCTGATGGAAAGTTTCTGGTAACCTTCCCACCCCTCGAGGAAGAAGAGCATTACGAACTGCACTTGTAGAATGTTTTTGTTTGTTTCTGTTTGTGCGCCGAGTGGCATTCCCATTTCCATTCCCTCTGTGAATGTGTGCGCCGGTGTGTGTCCGTGTGGGCCAGAGTTGTGTAATTTTTAACAACAACTTTTTTTCGAGTGTCTCTCCCTCGTTCTCCCACTGCACTGCACTGCCGAGCCCTCTTTCCCACCCTCATTTTTTGCCTTCTGTAGCCAGCCAGGCGTAATTATGATGAGTGAGCAGAGGATCCAGCATCCATCCAGCATGCAACACGCGTCCGCATCACGTGGCAGCCACAGAATTTATAATGCCCAGTTGCCACTCGACAAAAAAAAAAAAAAAACCAGCCTCAAACGCTTGACAGTCTCTGCACGAGCAAGTTGCAGTTTGCTCATAGCCAAGTTCCCTTTTTTTTTTTGTGTCTAAATCTGAATCTGAATCTAAACAACAACTGGAAACTGGCCCACTCGACTGGCACCGGGGCTCCAGAGGCATGTACAATGGCACATACACACATAGACGAGTATATCAACATGTGGACCGGCATTGACTACGCATTTTAATGCGCCCTTTTCAAATGGAAGTGGCTGCTGCTTGACCTACACACAGATACTACACTCACACACTCACGCTTGTACTATACTCGTACAGCTTCCAAAGATACACAACTGGCCAGCAGCAGCAGATACAACGATTTTGGTCGTACAACAATTTTCTGTAAATTGTTTTCCATCTGTGCGAGTATCTCCATCTGTCTGTTTGCCCATGCTGATGTTTGTTTATGTTTATCTGTGCAATCAAGTCTCTTACCTCTTAACTGACCTTGCCCAAAACTTACTGCTCGAGCTTTTTGCCTTGTTTGCTCTAACTCCGGGCATGGCTTGGCCAAGTTCAAAGATATTTCCCAGCCGCAGCTCTGACTCTGACTTTCCCTAGCAAAAGCATTCATACATTCATTCTGCTTTCCCAAAAAATTATTCGGTTCTGCTCTGAAAACGTAGACAAATTATTAACGGCATATTTAGTATTTTGTGAAAAATCTGAGTGAAACTATGGGCCCTTTCCTCGCTTGCTTGGCTACCTGGCTGCTTGGCTGCTTGGCTTGTTAGCCCAAGTCCGAATTGTAAACGGATTTCTGAATAAAGAGTGATGCCCGAGCCACTCCATTCACCAGTGCCATTCCACATTAACCCTAATGCCCAGCTTCTTTACTCCTCGCTTCTCATCTATGGGCACGGCCACGCCACCCAAGCACGGAACCAGCCACATTCATTTAACTTGTAAACTCATCCACTCTCGTATAGTGTGCTGATATATGGGTTGTGTGAGTGCGTGTGCTTTTAACCCAATTAGCAGAGGCGCTCAGTGGCATTAGATTGAGTTTTACAGCTCTCTGTTAGCCGTCAAACAAACCTTAATCATTACTTAACTGTATGCCATGCATTGTTCTGCGTTCGTTCGTTCGCTGCTAATGGCAATTCGGGCTCGTATGTATAACAATTGCGACTAATTGTGCGGACGACGGGTCGCTGAGTGCCACCACGCCCCCTTTGAATGCTAGATGGCATGATGAGAGCAGCTAATTGAAAGGTGATCGACATAGGAATGAGCAGCTCTAATCCCTACTTTGAAATTGAAAGAGTTCTATCAAAAAGAAACATTTTTTCAATGGTTTTTTTTGTTTGTATTCCATTGGTGAGAGTGCTCATGGAATTTCTCTCGGAAAATAAAGCATTTCGCTGTTAAATGTACCCACATACAAATGCATATATATGTATGTTTGTGTATGTATATTCCTGAACAGCATCTGTTGATATCTTCGGAATCTCTCTACCCAAGCACCTTTCAATCAAACTGATGACAATTTTCAGTGCTTTTTCGCTTTTCTCGGTTAAATGCTGATGTTTGGGCGAAACGTTGATTGAAGCTCCCCTCCTCTCCCTCCCCGCACGTGCAGGGCTGGGGCGGCACCACTTGAATATTAATGTCAAGTTCGGAATGGGAATTAGCTGGGAAATTGCACACTTACACACAGACGCGACGCGGGGCAATGGGTTGGTGGCTGCAGCAAATGCAAATTGTTTTTCCATGGGCAGTCACAAATACATGCACTCACTCACACTGAAGCTCTCGTCCAATTTTTAATGGTTCGCAATATGCTGGGTGGCAGTGTGTGTCGCAAGTGGCCGGCAACGAGGCGAGTCAACAGTAAACAATAAGGCTGTTGCAGCAACACCAGCATCAGTAATAATATAATAATAACGAATGTGGTGCAGTCAGTGACCCAGAATATATACATATACATACATACATACGAGTATATACATACATACTGGTACTCGTACGTCTGTACAGATATGTCTGTATTTAAAGTAGTTTTCCTACACGAATCGAGATATATTTCGCGTTTATCAAAAGCCCCAACCATATGCACTATCAACTGTACTATACGACTATTTGTGTATTTGTATTTGTGGATTATTAATTGTGGCATTTAGTATGCGTGGAGTGTGCACGAGCATCTGTGTGAATCTTTAACCTTTGTGTCTTTGTGTCGCAAAGTTCGAATACGAGTGCAAAATAATTGAACAGAGGAGCCGAACACTCTACTCCGTGACTGCCTGCCCTGGGCCTCCAGTAGGTAAAGGCAGTTATTCAATTAGTGCACGAGTAGAATCCATTCAAATTAATTGAATTTTAGTTTCGTCAAACACAGAAACATACCCGTACGTGAATGAGAGCATGATAAACATCTTTCACCACAATTCATTTTCATTTTAATTTCTATATTCAATTCCATTTTCAATTCACACAAAATGTCTATTTTTGGATTTGTCACATGGAGTTTTTATTTGATTTTATTTTGGTCAACCTGCGAGTTATTTATTGATTGGCAGCTCGCGGCTGATGTCTGCATTCGAAGCGGTTTTTTCTCGCTTTCGTTATGCTGTTGCATGCAAATGAAAACAAAATTTGTTGGCCCGACAATCCCCCTCCAACCCATCCCATCCATATATGTACATATGTATTTATCATGACATGTATACATGTACATACATATGTATGCTCTAGGAATTAACAATCTATTGTAAATTCGCGCTCAAGGCGTCTTTTCCATTTACCAACAAAAAAAAGAGACTCATCTCAGCTCTCTCTCTCTCTCTCTGCGTTTCAGGCGATCTGCTATCGCATCCAACATTCAAGCCGCTGTGCAGCGCCCAGCAGGAGCACTTCATCGAGAGCGATGGCAAGGAATCTAGTCTCATCATCGAACTGAAGCCGGGCTCCTATGGCGCCGAGCACCCCTCCTGCTCCCGCATACTGAGTGCCCCGCCCAACTACGGCTTCATAGTGCGCCTCATTCTGCCCAAGCTACGGCACACTCAGCCGGACAGTGGTACTCCATCCTCGAGCATCATGCCAGCAGCCAGCAGCACAGCGAAGCCCCGACGTGCACCTAAGACAAGTGGCCTGACGGAAATGTCCACGCTGACGGACCGCCTCAACACAACGAAGGCCATGACGACACCCCGGGTGGGGCGCACCTGTCCCCTGAACATCGTAAGTAAACGCACCACCTGAGCCCCAACCATGACCACTCAGAGGTGATTAGTGCGGAATTGCCATTTCTGCACATTCCGCCTTGCCTACTCGTACCCGATCTTCTCTCGCAGATCTATTTCCTCTCCTCTGGCTCTTCCACTTGGGTGCGCATGGGCCGTCAAAGCCATCAGTTGTTAATTGTGAGAATCAGCCAAATTGGCTCTCTCTTCCGCGACGACATTGAACTCTAGAATACGGTTTGAAGCGCTCTATTAATGGACAGTACATTTCCAGTCCAGAATATCTTCCAATGATACCAATTCTTGAAACTTTAACGTACTGCGAATATCGCTCTCAGAAAGGCTTCCCTTTCCATTCAGAATTTGCAGCGACAGCAATTGACATAATAAATCTGAATTTCAAATGACTTTTAAATTTATTCCATGAAACATAAAAATGGATTTCAAAACGATTACCGATTTCAATCGCCATTGTCAAATAGATTAAGTTGTTGATATCATTACATACATATGTACATATGTATGTATCATATGGAACGACATGACTACTATGTACATGTCTAGGTAGGTAGGTAGGTTTCCCATTGACATTGTTACTTTTTTGTGGCTTTCCGATGAGACAGTTTGACATCCATCTAAAATTGTCTCCAATTACTGGCAACCTCTCACGCGAGGCAAGCTAAAAACACTTGCTGGAACGTAATTCGTTGACAAATCGTTGAAATTTTCAAGGTGTTCTATCTCGTTTAGGACTTATGAGACTTTCCATTAAAGTCTGTCACCCTTTGGTCTTGGCCCGTGTTCAGCCAGTTGAAAATGTTTCACTTTCTGCAAAGCCAATTGTACAATCCAGTTCGTACAGAACCCGCACCAGCACCAGGAACAGCATTAGAGGCAGAACAGAGTTGGGGATCTCACCCACAACTCAGCTCGTATTTGCATAAGCGCGCCAATTTCAACCATTTTGTCAGGGCTTTTTCGTATTTGAAACACGTTTGTCTCATTTGGCCAGAGCGCAGCCCGGCAGAAACACTTTCAGTCGCCTAGCCATAAATCTGCCCCCGACTGACTGGCGGGCTGACTGACAGGCCCAGGCCTGGCTGACAAGCCTGGCCATAAAAACAAACTATGCTGCTGCCAACTGGGAACTATTGGGATGTGGTGGGGCTGGGGGTGTGTCGCTTTTGCATTTCCAGTAGAGAGATATCGTCTTTGTTCTGTCAGAGTCACCACCTCCCCCTACCACCACCCAAAGTGCGAATTGATGCGTCGCATAACTGCAGCGCTGACTGCGGGTACGAGTATGTATGCATATCTTCCCAATGAACAGGCTAGAAAAGGCGAGCACATACTTCAAGTATTTAGTTGTTATTTCTTTAGAACAGGTTTAATTGCTGTTTACTGCAATTGCAAGGCGGCTGATCGCCAAGCTGTTTCACAGTTATTGAACCTGGCCAGCTAAGTTGTAGCTTCCACATCTCTTTGTGTGCGGCGTATCATTCCATTCCGATTGTTGGCTCTGCACGTGACGCCACATAGCGACAACAACAGATCCACAGCGCCACAGCGCCACCGCCAGACGCAGATATTAATGGATGTATTTTTATACCCATATGATTCTCAAGCATTTCGTAGATATCGTACAGTTTGCATATATACATATATATATATATACACGAGTATATATTATATGTGTATCTGCCGGAGGTTTAACAGCTTTTCGTTTTGTATTTTTCCAGCGTAAATATTTAATTTTGCATTATGTGTGTGAGCGCGTGTGTGTTTGCCTCCGATGTGGAATCGCAGTTTTGATCGCGGATCGTTTTGTAGGATTTAACAATTTAAGAATTCCCATCACGTCAGCGCTTCTAGGGGCGGTGTCCGTGTGGGCGGGGCCCGAGCGGCGAGACTTTTAGCATTTCGATCGTGTAAACTGTTAGTTCGCACGTTCGCGGCAAATATTCGGTATGGTATGCCCATCCCGAGATACTCGTACGCATTTGGGCCACGCCACGCTTTTAGCCAGCTCCCAATAATTGGATAAATCTATTTGCCTCCACAGTTCAGCTCGCTGGATCCCCACACGGCCCAGTGGCGCGTCGACCCTTGCCAGCTGGAGGACACAGCCTCGGAGATGGAGGATCCCGTGCGGCTCTTCCACGGGCGGGTGAGGATCGTGTGGGAGCACGGCCTGCACGCGCTGAGGTCGAAGCTGATGGTCACAGTGCTGGGCAAGGGAGAGCAATGCAAGGATGCGAGCAAGCATCAGTGCCTGAGGATCGGGTGAGTTATGCTCAAAGATTCAGATTCAGCCTGAACAGATTGTAGCAACTATCGGTTATGCATCCTTTCCAGGGACGAGCCCATCCTGTGCATCTCCAAGGAGCTGGCCTGTGACGGCATCCGCCACTGCCCCTACAGCAACGAGTACGACAGCGACGAGGACTACGAGATGTGCCTCAAGCAGCGCCGACCTGGTGCCAGCAATCTGCCCGCGGGCCTGGAGTCGGACCTTTTCGAGCAGTTCGCCCTGGAAGTGTTCCGCAATCTGTTCGCCTACGATGCTCCAATGGCGCCCGAGGATCTGCCCCTCAACGGATCCGTCGGCCTGGACAACTCAACAGCAACCACAACCACGACAACGCTGAGAAAAGTCCACACCAAAGACATGAAGAAGCCGGGAGGCGATGGTTCACCCAACTCCATAGGTCCCAATCTTTTGGAAGGGCAGGGAAAGTCGGAAAACGATACAACAGAGTTGGGAGCGGGTTCCGGTGCGGGAACAGGAGCTGGAAGTGGCTTCACCCGCCGCAACTCGACTCGAACGGGCCTCCACTCGGACCTGTCCAAATACGGGCCCTGGGGCTACCTAATGCTCGGCATGCTTCTCTGCGGCGGAGCCCTGCTCATCTGCGGCCTCTGGGGTACGTTTAATTGCACCATTTTCTAGTCAAAGTAAGACCTAGTCGGTCTCCGGTCTCCGGTCACGATCCCCTTATGCACAGTGCTGGTCCTGTGCTCCGACTTTGTATGACGAATTTGTATGAATCCATCCGTTCTCTTGTAGCCTCCGCATCACAGCACGCGGTCAACAATGAGCGGGAGGCGGCGCTGGCCGCTGCCAACGGCGGAGGAGGAGGCGGTGGCCTGGATCAGCTGAACGCCGCATCGCCGCCCAACTACGAGGAGCTCGACCCGCCGCCAGCCTACTCGGTGCTCTTTCCCAATCAGAAGGCCGCTAGCAGCACTACGCTCGACCTGGATGCGGGAGCAGCTAGCACTAGCCACACAACAACAGGAGCTGCAGCAGCAGCTGCAGCACCAGCGGCGACGGCTGCTCTAACTGGTGCATCACCAGGCGATCCTCAGCAGGCGATGCAGACTATGCAGACGCAGCAGGAAGAACAGCCAACGAACTAGATCGTAAGCCTGACAGAAGGTATCGCACCTGGAATAACCATAGATTAGGTACCCAACATCTCTCTGACTGACTCTGATGCAATTAGCTTAAAACCAATTTAGTGATAGATCTAAGTGTAACTCGATGTTGAATGTTTGACTATGCTAACCACTCCAACCGTCCTGCATCTGTGCCGCGTCTGTCCAAGTCCGTCCCAAAGGCTGTTGACAGACCCATTAGTTTCCAATAATTGAAGACATATGTATGTAATTGTAAAGCTGCCGCAGCAGCAGCAACTGACGAATCGCTTGACTTTTGTATTTCTGTTAATTTAAAATTTAATGTGATATAAATTTAAAACTCAATAAAGAAAGAAATGTGTTTAAGTATGTACTCGTATTTGTACGCTGTTTAATTTTTTTGCAACCGATAACAGATGATAGAAGCATGGATCAGCTTGCAGATCTAAAATCCCTAGTTAAAGTTCTGCTGCTTTTCCTCTGACACTCGGAGATTGGATCCATATGTACATACATATATGTGCATATGTTCATACTCTTTATGTAAAATCTACACACATACATAACTACAAATGGCGGCAGAAATTGTTAAGAATTGTTAACAGTTAACAAACAAATTACCTGCATTTTTTGTATGCATACGAGTACATATATCGATAAAAATAACGATATTACCGCAGACGCGAGCAAATGTAATTTGTACTTCACTTTTACATGCATTCTACACCAAAATTTCACCCAAAAATATGCTATGAAAGCTAAAGATATCATACCTACTCAAAACCATACATTTTAACCCAAAAAACCAAAAAAAATGCTAAACGTTTTTTTTTTTTGTTTTTATGGTGTGCGTTTTTTTTGCAGTATATTTTTTTTCTGTTTTTCAAGTAAAATTTTTGTAATTTTCATATGGTATTTTTTCAACATTTAATAGGGAAAAAAACAACAAAAATTAAAAGCTCTTCTTAAATTTTTACCAGTTAAATATTTAATTAATGCCAGCTAAATTAAAAAAAAAATCAAAACAATTTTAAAATGTAATTTTTACTGTAAAACTGTGGAAAAAAAGATTTGTTTAAGAAAAAATTGTTTAATTCTGGTGTTGTCGGTATGTACGTTCTGTCCAGGGCAAATAAAAACCAAAAACTATACAAAACTCACGCGAAACATGTTCTTAGCACAATAGTATCCTATTTTTGCGAAAAGAAATTCATTTTAACCTTAAAAAATGCTCGGGATCTGGCTCAGAGCATAGTTATACTCTACCCAATGGAAACGGGCGACTGGGCTACCAAAATCTATGGAAAATTCCGCAGATCTTCTGAATTTAAAGAAAGAAATACGGAAATTTGGAGCCGATGCTCAGTCCTTAAAAATCAACGAATCTAATTTTAAGTTTTATTAACTAATAACTAAATGAATTAAAAATAAAACGTTCCTTATAATTTTAAGTTTTATTAACTAATAACTAAATGAATTAAAAATAAAACGTTCCTTATAATTTTAAGTTTTATTAACTAATAACTAAATGAATTAAAAATAAAACATTCCTTGTTTATTTAAATTATGTTGTAATATATATTCTAAATTAGCTTGCAATTAAAGGAACATTGCCGTCAGTCTGATCGTCTTCCACTGTGGCGACGCTCCAGTAATTTGTTTGGAAACAGAACGAAGCTTATCAGATGCTCAAAGTTAAAGTGTTCCCGTCCATGATGGGTCCAGTTACTTTTGTCGGGTCCAGGTGCACTACACTCAAGGCTGCGTACGAGCTTCGGCCAATGTCGTTGGTAGATCTTAGGTGTTCCTACGTCTGACAGCCTCCATGGCCAAGCACCGAACGAACGTACTTGTTGAAATCCCCCAGCCTGTTGTGGTTTTTGTACTTTCTGTTGCCCTGTGAATGTAACTTCAGTAAAGGAGAGAGAGAGAGTTCAGAGGGAGAGCCCATGTCCATGTTCATTCCAATGAGTTTCATTAATGTGGATAATGAGAACAACAGATCGGAAATAAAGATTAAATCACGATTATACGAATAAGATGGTAAACGGGGTAAAACATCTCCCCGTTATTCTGACTGACAAATCGGTAGTTATTTCGGTGCAACTACCAGCCTATTGGACCGCCACTGTCATTTTCTAGTCAGTGATTAATGAAAAATATTTATTAAATATTTGCAACGGAATTAAAGATGGGAATACACCCTCCCGCCGGTGCCCCTTTCATCATTGCCTATCTAATAGGTGCTTGCCAGTCTCTTGAAATAGGCAATAAACTATAAAACAATTCGAGGAACTTTTGATGTATTAATTTCAATTGATAAAAGTTTAATTACCGTAGATATAGAAAAATATTGAGACCTTTATGAATAAAAAAATTTCCTTAGTATATTTTATTTTAAAATTATTTTAGGTATTTTATATACTTACTTTTCTATCTGGTTGGAGTTGGATAAACAAATAAACTCAGTCAGTTGGGGCTTTTTTTCACATCGAATAAACATCTGTTTTATTTGCATTTCTGGGAGGTCGGTCGCAGCTCAGGGGAAGATTGGGGAAGGGGTGTTTTGTCACATTTAATTGCAAGTGCTAAATGAGTTGAGTTTATGTTTCGTTTTCGTTTAACTATTATTTTTACCGATATTCTTACGTTGCTTATTGCCCACTCCAATCTGATATTTTTTTTCTCTAGATACTCGTATTGTTTGCTTGTATGTATTTGCCACTAGCTACCCATTTTTTCTATGTCTATGAATGTGCCACAGGGAGCTGGGTTCCGCAGGCCAAAACCCATCAAGTTGGGGTAGGGTGAGAACCATCGCTTCTTCTTGGAAATGCTCATTGAAGCGGCTTCCCTGCGACACGCTGAATCGTATTGGTAATCGTATAATCGCATATATCTAAAACCAAGTTTACGCACTAAAAACGTGAAGCAGTTTTTCGAAAAAAAAAAAAAAACCAATCCCTTCGATGGGCTCTCCGGTATTGTAAACTGGCAAAAAGTCGCACTACGGTTGAAAGTTTGGTTTAGTTTACTCGAAAGTTCTACTACGTACATAGTCGTACTATCCTGTTGTACATATGTATGTATGTATGTATGTAATGTATGTATACTTAAGTGCCAATTTCAGCAGTTTGGAGGCTCGTAGCTCGTGTCTCAGAGCCAGCGGTTATCCGGGTTGAATTCTAGTTTCCGGTTCTACTTACATACTCATAAGATTTGGGCGTTTTCGTGTTCATCGATTTCATTCATTTTACAATTCTTCCTTAGTGACTAGACGTGTTCATAAATACTTGATACTCGATATATATGTATATTGTATAATTAATTGGGTGCAGTTTATGGATATTCTTTTATATCTGTATAAGTTGTGCAGATTCCCCCGTGTTCTTCTGACTCCTGTCGTCTCTGTGTCTGTATCTTTTTCAGTGTAAGCGTGGGGCTAGGAACACGGTCGCCACCTGGCAACAATTTTTTTTTTTTCAACCAAAAGGGATCATTTGTTCGCCGTAAGGATTCGATTCAGAAATACTTTTTGGGCTGTATCAAAATGTACGAAACGTAAATGTGTTTTCGGCAAAGCATATCATCGAATGGAATCGACTAGTATTTTCTGAAACATATTTACCTTGTACCCCACTAGTGGGCAGTAGCAAGATAGGAGCAGGCGACAGGGATTCAACAAAAAACGGATCCCTTTTGGTAGCGTAAGCCATGCAGTGGCAACCGTGGCTAGGGAAAAACTCTTTCTTACATCTAACTCATGGGCGATAGGCCATAGCGGACACTTAGCAATTAGTTGGTTGTATGTGGTATGTTTTTGGTTGTTTGTTGTGGTTCAAGAACACGTTTGATACATAGATAAAAAACGATCTCTGATAAAACGTCCTGTGGTTTGTTTAGCTTGTATTCAAAAGTCATTAAAAATAAATTCAAATTCAAAATCGCCTGCTTCTTCTCATTTGACGAATCCTTCCGCTAAAAATTGAATATTCTTTGAAAGTTCTGGTTTTGGTTTTGGTTTCTGTTTTAGTTTGCTTACATGCTACAAATACTCGATAGTTCGTCTTGAGCCCTACACTAGTTATCTATCATTTAAAATTGGACGCCAAAAAACAATTAACAAAATCGACGCAAAGCCTTAAGAATATTACTTGCTGAAAATTTCAATTGTAATTATCAATTATCAATTTGTTTCCTTTGTAGAGTTTAAGTGTGTTCTGTGCTGTGTGTGGGTGTGTATCTGTGTTCTCGTTTCGATCAAGTGTTTGTGTGTGAGTTGTTCAGCTCATGGTTTGCTTACTTCTGAATAAATAAGGCCAGTGGATACGCATACATCATAAAAGTACAATTCAAATTTATCATATTCAATGTTTCACATTAATCTAGTTAGTTTATAAAAGCGCTTTTATCGGGTCGAAGCCAAACACACTTGCCAAACGTACATATGTCCTTTTGTATAATCCCTTCTAGTAGCTGCAATCTATGTAGCGAAAAGCTTCTATCCTTATCAATCCTATCGATTTTATTAAATCTCTTCCTCCGTTTAGTTGCTTCAAAGTTGTCTGGTATAAAAAATAGAAAAAATTTTGTGACAATAAAAACGGTTTTCCCTAGTACACATCCTCATCATCCTTCCCTTCCTTCTCTCGTATCGTCGTATCGTATCGTATCGTATTCCAAAAATTATCTCAATATCGAGGCCAAAAAGTATCCCTATCAAGAGCGATCATTAGGTAAATGTTCTTTCGAAGCTTCAGTACTAATAAAATCGGCTTAACTGCTACAGATTTACTGTGGGGCATACAATACTTAGGTTATCTCATACTTGGATATGAAACACGATATTAACTAACTGCTTAGCCTATGCACACAAACAAGTGTATCTTAACTGTTCCTTAAATATGTATGTGTGTATTCTTCTTCTTTTTGTTTTTTGTTTTTTGTTTCTATTGAGAATACGCTGCTGATTGCTTAAAAGTTGCTCGAAAAATTAGTGTATCTGTATCTGTCTGTTGCTGTTTGAACTACATTCAAATGTATACATATATACGGATATATGCTGCGATTTCTCTAGCGAATTAATCGAATTAAAAGCACATTGATTGTACGTGTGTATACTACACGTGTGTGTGGGTGTGGGTGTTTGTGTGTGTGTTTGTGTTTGTGTGTTCTGTTCGAGTGAGTGGCCGTTTAAGGGGAGAAGAGGCTTCATTCATTCTTTCATTCATTGCTTATCCGACTAAGCGATCTGTCGATCAGATCATTCGATACCTAATCACACACTTTACCTTTACCTTTACTCTTTACATCTTCACATCTTCTTCGTGATTCGACTAAGTTTCTTGACTAAGTTCTTGGTCATGTTATAGTTTTTCTTGTAGTTTGTTGTTGTTGTGCTGTTTTCCAATGGTATGGCTGTAGTTGTTGTTCCTGGATTCCTTTTGCTTTTGCTTTTGCTGGAGTGTCAATTGCTGCGACAACGATGAATCAATCAATGGAACAAGGTCCCTGCTCCCATTGCTGAATCAATAGCAATCTGTGCGGATGAACGAAGGCGACGAGGACGACGACGACAACGACGAGTGGTGGTGGTGGTTGAGAACAGATGTGCCCACAGCCACAGCCCCAGCCAGCTGGAATGTCAATGGAGTGGAGTTGTTTTGGGGGCAGGACTCAGGACCGCTTTTCGCGAGTCTTCTGGATAGTCTTCTGCAGAGCTGTTCAGGCAGTCGCTGGGAGCATAACTAACAATAGTTGCCATTACCATACCACGGAAAGGTCCAGCACCATCAGTGCGGAAGCATCAGAGGCCGTGCCGTGCTGCTCAGTCTATGATGCGACTTGTCGATGCTTGCGCCACCGCATCCGCCTCCGCCGTACTCATCGTAGCTGAGCAGAGGGGATATCTTGAGGCCAGTCTTCTCGGGGATAATCTTGAAGTGGGGCTGGTCGGCGCTCACCAGCAGCGGCCGCTTCATCGATGAGTGCATGTACTCGTGCGGGTGGGGATGGAGAGGGGCCGCCGCGCCAAGGGGTCGCCGGGTGCTGGGAACGTTCATCTTCTTGCACGGCTCCGGCTTGCTCTCGTAGTTCATCTGGCAGTTCTCCGGCGAGTACTTGTTCGGCTTGTAGATGGAGAAGATGTTGTTGATCAGACTCAGGGCCGAGTGGCCGCCGGCGGAGGCATGGTGGATGCCGGCTGTGGGCTGCTGAGTGAGCACGTTGCCCACAGTCGGGTGGCTGTGCTCGGGGTAAAAGTTATTGTACTGGTACGAGGGCAGGATATCCGCAGTCGGATAGATCTTGTGCCCGTAGCCCGGCGCATGTCCGTAGGCGGGCGCCCGACCCGGTCCGGACCCAGAGATATGATGGAAGGAGGGGCTGTCTGGTCCATTCTCAAAAAAAGGATATCCAGCATTGTTGGAGGACTCGCTGGAGTCCAGCTGCGGCGGCGAGGGCATGCCCTCGAGCAGCGACTTCTTGATCATTAGCCGCTCGTGCTCCCGGTCGTGCAGGTCGATGGGCTGTCCGTTGTTGTAGCACCTCACGTTGACGTTCTTCACCTTGAGGCTGCTCTGCATGTTGCGCCGCATGTCCATGTTGATGGGACTGGGCGGCTTGTCCAGCTGCTCCCAGTACTTCTCCAGATCGATGTTGAAGTCCTCCAGATCGATTTCGGTTGTGTCCGAGCAAGTGTCGTCGTCGTGGTACAGATTGGCTGGTTCCATTTCCAGCAGCGATTTGCTGCGTGTGGGTCGCTGGTAGCTGGGGTACCGATGCGCTGGGCTGCGCGGCGCAGGTGCAGGTGCCGCGGCCATGTAGCGTTCGTCCTCGTCCAGGAACTTGTCCTGCAGCAGCAGTCGCTCGCGCTCCGCCCGTATGAAGTGCTCCAGATCGGTGTCGTAGCGGCAGTGCATGTGCTCCTCCTCCTCGGCCGCCGGATGGTGGCCGGGGCAGTGGACACGCGACCGCGGCCGAACCACCAGATGGGTCTGTGGCTGTCGGTGGCAGCAACAATCGTCCGCAGCACAGCAACAGATCACCGTGGGGGCCGGCGTCCTCGGACCCCGCCCCGCCCGGTGATCGGCCTCTGCCCGCTCCTCGAACAGCCAGTCCGCTGCATTCAGACTCAGATTCCTGTTGCTGCCAGCCAGCAACTGCTGCGATGGGGCGCGACCCCGCGATCGGGCTGCCACCCCCGATCCCGGATAGATCTCGTCCAGCAGGCACCTGGCGCTGGTGCACTGGTCCCGGGCGCAGCACCTGTGGGCCAGGGTTCGCTCGTCCAGGCTGTTGCTGTACAGCATGTTCATGTTGCGCCTGTAGGCTTCGCGCTTCTCGCGCCGCGTGTTCGAGGCGGGGGGCAGCTCGTAGTCGATGATGTCGAAGGGCATTGTCTTGGTGCTGGCACTGAACGAGTAGGACTTGGGCACTCCCGATCGGTTTTTCAGTATCGAGGTGGTGGCCGGAGCAGCGGCGCCACTTCCACTGGGCACGCCGCCGCCACCCTCAAACACGTTGCCCTCGAAGCACCAGCTCTGCGATTTGGGGTACTGGAACTCCTTGCAGCTCTTGGATCGATGCAGCCCGTATCCCGGGGAACCCTCGCCCTCGCCGCGCCGCTCCCGATTGACGCCTGCCTCCTCCGGATACTTCTCGTCGAGCTCGTTAATGTCGCGAAGAGCACGGTAGGTGCCGTACTTGATGCAGTCGGGTACATAGTCCTCATCCATGTCGTCCGAGCGATTCGAGTAGATGTTGTCCGTGTACCAGGTGGAGTCGAGCTGCTTTGGTCGGGGCTTGGCCTGCAGCAGCTTGTCCCGCTTCGATTGACGGTAGCTCTCGAAGCATATGTTCTTCATCTTCTCCAGCTTATGCTCGCGGATCCGCTCCCAGTTCTCCCAGTTCTTGTCGTTCTTGTTCCGGCGTCCGGACAGTATGAGTACGTCCTTGTCCTTCTCCCAGTCGGCGCTGCTCTCGTCGCCATAATCGATGTTCAGTCGCTTAGTCTCGGCCTCCGCTTCCCTTGGGATCTGGTGATTCGAATAATGGGCGGTGGTGGTGGTGTGTGGTGGTGCAGGTGCAGGTGCGACACTACTTCCGGCTAAGCTGCTATTATCGTTAACTACAATTCTAATCCTACGCTTGGTCTTGTCCGTTGTCCTTGACGACGACGACGTCGTCGCTTGCATGGCCGATTTCTGCGGCCTATTCCGCTCATCGGCAGGCGGCTCATCTTCGGGCTCTTCTGGCTGTCACACCTCCTGCAGATACTTGACCGGACAGTAGCCCTGGCGGCTGTCGGCCGAGCGCACCATGCACATCCCATTGACTTCGTCGCCGACCTGGTTAAGCAAGCCCAAATGAAACGTTTGGATGTTGTTAGCATTTCCTTCGACTACATTACCTGTATGACAATCTGATCCCTCAGGAGCGTTATTTTCTCGCTGCGCTCCCCATCCGACACTTGCAGATTGTGGGTCACCTGCAGTGGCTTCTCACTGGCGTTCAGACGCACACAGTACTTGGATGGAAAGAAACCAACGCGTCCCAGTACCTTCCCCTTCCACCAGTCCGGATCGGATGTGTCAATGACAGTCACCTAAAACAAATACGTGGGGCAACAGTTCAGAAATCAATTCTTAACAGCTCCTAACAATTGTGAGCTTATAGCCTGAAGCTCCTGACTTCACAATTGCACTTCAAAAGTACATTTTTGGCTTGGCGTGAAACCAACTTGAGTTGAGAGACATGGGGTCTCTGTCTAGACTTTTAACTTCTCTGTCTTTCAGTCAATTATAGTGGAATAACAATGCAATTGGTTGTTTTACATGCATTTCGGTCTGATTGCTGGTAGCTGCACTCTAGAAGAAATTGCCAAGTAAATTCTATAAATATAGTTATCGATCCGCACAGTAAATTATGAAGTAAAAGTTGTGTTCATCCTCAACTTTCTACGCTACACGACCAAATTACTCCTCTGCCAAGGACAAAATCCGAACAAAAGCTAATCTGCAAATATTGAACACTTGGCCGGCGGGGCGGGGCGGGACGGTAGGGACAACGAGCACTCTAGCAATCAGCGAAAGTACACAAAAAACGCAGCAACTATTATTATTTCTTCTTATTCGCTGTTTGCGTTGTCCTGTTTACGCAGCAGAAAAAACAGCACTCCCCCCCATCCTGTCTGTATCCCTCTTTCTGTCTTTGTGCAGACACATACGAGTGTACGATAAATAAACAGGCTTCTGTTGTCCTTGTTCGTTTTAATATTGAATAAAGAACGGGGAATGTGTATGCATTTCGGATTTTGTTATGCCAATTTCCTGTGCCAGCCATTGTGTGAGTTAAGCGCTCCGCTTAGTGGATTAAACAAAGCGTGTTGTTTATTATTCATACTCGTGCATATGGCATACATAAATACATAGTACTCGCACCATACCATTACCGATGGGAGAAATAGAGTAGAGGGGGGTCGCGATTCCCGTACTGTTACCGGGATTAGCGGGATTTGCTCACCTTGTAGCCAGCCTTGAGGTCCAGCTCGTCGGAATGCCGCGCCTTGAAGTTGTAGAGGATGACGTACAAGTTGGTGGGCAGCAGACGATGCGATTTCTTGAAAATGTCGAAGCGGATGGAATAGGATTAGATAAGATGGGAGTAAGCGTGGATGCAGTCATTGTGCATGGCGGATGGTGTTGCCAAAAATCAATAATCACGAACAGGCAATGAAAAGGGATGGGGGGGAATACCTGGGGATGTCTTACTGGTGAGAGGCATGGCGAAGTGCTGGCCGATGACTGTGACTTCTCCAATTCGTCCGGCAAATCGACGCTGCCACCACGCATGCCACGTGTGGCATACAACAGCTTGCGGCCCGTATGCGAGGGACTCGATGGTGCTGTAATGGTTTTGGATGCGTTAATCCCTGTTCCAGGACATGCTCAATGTGTTTTTGGTTAGTTTGGTTAGAATGCAAGTGAATGAGCGTAAAAGAAACAAGATTAGCAATAGAAAAATTATGTTTAAAGTACGCATAAAGATATATAAATAGATAAATATACATATACATATCAGAGAGAGAGAGAGAGAGAGAAAGAAATAGAGATATACATAGGTATAGAGCAGGAGATTAGATAGGCGCAGTGCTTCAACATACTTCAGATAGTCCCCACTAAGGTTGAATATATTGTACTGGGTGTATGGATCAGCAGATGTTGTAGCGATCTTTATAGCAACAATTAACTTGAGCTTACTCATTATGGTTTACTTATGTACTTGTGTAATTCTAGCAAATTGTACGAGATCAACCAAATCAAACTACTCAACAAAACTTTACTTTACTCTGCGTTTTCAACGTATTTACATTGTAAGCGACTACATTGGAAAATTCTTTCCGTTATGGGATAGGTTGTGTGACTTAGATGGTGGTGTTGGATAGGTGTATACGTACTAGATCGAGAAATTAGAGTGAGGGAATTGAGATTCGTTAGGAAGCCAAAGAGGTGCCCATTTTGCAATAGCTCATCGTAGGTACATAGGTGTGTTTGTTGGATGGCTCGGTGCAGCGCCGAGAGTATTCGTTGGTCTCGTACGTTCGTATCGTATCGATGTCGGTAACGGTTTATCGTTAACGGCTTTGGGACCGGTTACGGAAACGGTGCGGGAGGATTTACTGGGTTGCTACTTACAGTGCAGACGGCTGTTGTTCGATGGAGGAGTGCTGTGCTCCAGGTGGCCGCCCGATCCGCCGTGATAGTAGCCGGGGGCCGTTGATGTGGATGCGCCCGCTACCGGCAGCTGCGGACGTCGCCGGAATTGGCCGTGCAGCTCCGACGACTCGGGGGAGTCCAGGCTCAAGGATTTCATGCGTAAGTTCAACTTTTGGCGGCGCGGTGAGTGCGGTGCTGTTGTTGTTATTGTTGTTGTTGTTGTTTGGTAGGGTGGGTGTGTGTGTGTGTGTGTGTGTGTGTTAGATCATGTTTTGTTGTATTTGTGGTCGGACAATACACAACATGAGAGTTGGTTTCGATAAAACGTGGAATAAAAATATATTGACTTTAATTTAATTTGTTCAGCATTGATCATGTAATGAAAAATAGAATCTATACATCTAAAGTTCCAAGACAGAAACCAAACGAATACCGAAAATGCAATCAAATGATAACTGAAAAATTCAGCAAGTAGCTGTACACCTTCACATTGAAAGAGAGAGAAAGATATTATTGTCGTAGAAGTATACTACAGTATATCTATTTTGGGTATTAAATTAGCAAACATTCAAAGTTTATACACAGATAGAGAGACAGCGAGTGTGTGTGTGTGTGTGTGTGTGTGTGTGGCATGTCCAGTGTAGCATACTCTTTCTGGGCATCCAAAAGAAACTTTCTGCTGTCGTGGAAAATAATGAAAAACTTGTTTCCAGTATGCCCTGTGCCAGAAGTACAATACATACATATGCATGTGGGTGTGGGTGTGGTGTGTCCATGGAAAATGAATCGAATGAAATGAATGGGTGAAAGTCCTAAAAAACTAAACGCTTCCCTGCCCCATCCTTTGGATTGTCTGTGCCATACGATACAATCAATAACATTCAGGCAAATATCAAATTAATGAAAATGTGCAATAGTCAAATATAACTTAATACTTTAATCGTACAGTACGTTTACGTTTACTCACATCCGAGCTCTATAAAGTTACAAGAATCGAAATTAACTAACTACATAATATAATTACGAGTACATATATACATACATACGTATGTATGATAAAGGTCTGTGTTGGTAAGTAAACTATTTTGAGTATTTTTTAATAATTACTGTGATGCATTTTAAACATTAATTGAGCTAGGATTCATTTCTAAGGGGTACAAAAAATTCGAAACTTAAGAGATACGAGATAAAATAATCAATAAAATTAGAATTTCATTTTTTTATATGTATGTGTGTATGTATGCATGTATATGTAGATATTAAGTGTCGCTGCGCAGTGCTGCTCCACCCCTTTCTTCCTTTTTCTTCCTTCTTCTCTTCATCTCATTCTTCTTGTGCTCTTCCGTGCCTTAGCTTAGCCGGACTCTTCGCCGCGCCTTCGACTCGTCCTGCGGAGTGGAGTCTGGGCCCTTAAGGATGGCTCGCTGCAGCATCAGGGGCTCGCCAAAGGGACGCACCGTTTCAGTTTTCGGATTCGTTGATGCTGTGTCAAATAAGTATACCATATTATATCATCGCTTGTAATTTCAGTCCAGTTCTTGGCAGTTCTCATGGTTAGTAGCGCTTCGATGGATCCAGCTCCAAGCATTGTTAAAGGTTACCCCAGCCGCCTCCGACTGGGTCGGAGGCCACAGCAAAGAAATATGAATTAAAACTAATTATACCAAATGAACACACAAAGACCGAAAGAAAATATTTAACATTAAGACGCCAGCGTTCATGCACAAGTAAAACCAAAAGAAGCGAGCTCGGAGGAAGCAAAGAGATGAACAGAACTGGGGCCGCCAGCAGCTGCCTGGCCCAAGTAATAGAGCAGAAACATAATCCTAGCCAAATAACTACAGAGTCCCGCTCGAAGGAAGTCGAGACCAGCACCAACACCAGCCCCGACGACAACATGCAGAGAGGAATGGCAAAAAAAAAAATAATAACTCTATAAAAAGCTGACCGACTCTTAGATACCCGCTACTTAATCACAACTGAAGGTTATTGCTCCACATTAACAACATTCATATGAAAAAATATATAATCTTTATAAGTAATAGCGTTCAAAATTGGAGAAGAAAACTTCACGCAAGAGACAGACGGATGAGGTATTGACCCTAAGGGGGAATTTATGCCTGTTGCATGGATCCATTATACCCTTGCACTCTGCGAGTACTCAGCATTAAAGCAGAGGGAAAGCCCTGGGCAAGGCAGGCCCAAAACAGAAAGAAAAAATTGTATGTCGTAACAATTTTTAGCATAATTATGTTCGGCTAGGGACCGAGGACCGGGGACCTGGGACAGACCCCAGATCCTAGCTCCCAGCCCTGCCTGCTAGACCGTCCCCATTCTCATCTCCATTCGCACTCCCATCCTCCATTCTCCACGCGCTAAGAAGTTGCATAGCCGAAGACAAAAAAAGTTTGCCGCACGCGACTTTAAAATTGTTTCTGTGGGCGAATTCTGGAGCAGGAGCCAGAGCCAGAGCTGGTGCTGACGCTGGAGCATCAGAAATACAGCAAGCATAAAGTACAAATGAACTCGCCTCGAATCGAGTTGGCATGAGTTGGCATGAGCTGCAAAAAAAGTTTCTTCTTCTCCGTCTGCAACATTTTGTATGAAGCGCCCACTGCCAGGAGTATTCGTGCTGGTACTTTCCATTTACTGGGGAGTTATGCGGCTGAATTTTTCCACAGAAGTTGACAATGGCTTGTAATTTACACGGCATCAACAGCAACAGCAGCCGGAGCTGTGGATGAGGATGTAGGGCTGAACTAAAGAAGGGAAGACGGCACAGTCCTGGGAGGAGTCTTTCGCCTTAAACGAAGCTGGAGCCATGATGAAGCCGCTTTCACCAGGCAAAAGGAACACGGCCATGTACACAAATGATGGGAATTTTCGCCTGGATTGCAGTGGTTGTTGTTTTTGCTGCTGCCGCTACCGTTACCTTTGCCGTTGCTGTTGTTTGTTGATGTGCAACGGAAATGAGCCATTTGCTTGAAGTGCAAACTGGGTTAAGACTAATTGGCATTTACTCTGGCCTTTGTTTGAGCGAGCTGCCTCGTCACGGGCTCCGCTGCTTGAAATTCACGACTCGAAATTAAAATAACTGAAAGGCGCCTTCCTCTTGTATCTTTTGGCTTGGCTTGGCTTGGGTGCAAACACTTATTGTAAATATAAATACAAATACAAATACACTCAGAACAACAGTCATAGAAAAACACATATGTGGGAACAATCATCTGCGGCCTGCCACAGGAATATACATTAATTAATCGATGAGAAGGCTCGGCGCACCGAAGACCTTAGTACCCCTGCAGATCGATGATTGCCTCCCCAGCTTTAGAATTTAGAATGCACCGATATATGAACTAAATTTGGAATATTCTGAAAAATTATATTACTCTCTGCAAGGGCAAAATCGATATTTATCTAAAAAAACATTGAAACACACAATAAACATCAATTGTGAGTAAAATCAGTACTATCTTGACTATACTATTAGCGGTGATTGAAGTTGATGTTAAAGTTCTAGATTTAGATGTCGATGTCGATGCTGGGCTGCTTGATATTGTTGCAATGTCGAATGGAGCTTGCCATTTAAATTTCGTGGTGGTGTTAGACCCCGGTGATGATGAAGATGGTAAAGAGCTTAATGGTGGTGAATTGTGGTGCTTCGAAATAGGGTTATTATAAAGGTTAGGGAGCATGTGATAATGACAATAATGATTATCGCTACGATTATGGTTATGGTTATGGTGTGGCTCTTGCTCGTATTTACTTTCCGGCAACGAGATTGATCGATTCTGGGAAGATTTCTTCCGCAAGAGTCCATAACCAGAAAGCGGTCGAAACCCGGCGAATAGACGCCTGCGCAATCCCGTATCGGTCACGAGATGGCTGCTGCCGCTGCCGCAGCCGGTGACAGTGCTGGCGGTGGCACTGGCGGCACCAGCGCCGCTCCCGGATGGCTGATGATGCAAGGGCGATGCTGTTGCTGAAGAGGATGCCGCATACGACTGATGCAGCCCGCTGGCGGTGTAGTAGTTGATGCCGAAGCCATTGCTGATGTACGCCGAGCTGGACATGTTCGAGACGGGGGCAAAGAACTGCCCGCAGCGTTGATCTTTGTGTGTCGGTTGGTTGGTTTGATGTTTTTTGTTATTTGATTGGTTATTTGGTTAATTGGTGTTGGCAAGCGAAACGAAAATTGGCAAAAAAGATATGGACACGAAAGAATATATAGATATATATATATATGTATGTATATATTGCACATTTCACTAAACACTAAAGAGTGTGTCTGTTCTGTGTGTGGCCGCCATCAACCGCCATTCTACGAGAGCCATAGAGGCCTGTTTGAATCGAACTTAGGACTACTGCAGCCACAAAGCATCCCAGCGACAGACAGGAGCTACAACTGGGAAGGAGTACACAGCTCTAATGGCCTGCAATAGGCAATCTCCAATCAATCAGTCGAGGGCTGCATTTACACTCTCCTAATTGGAATAATGCAGCTGCAGACCGCAAGGGAAATGCAATGCCAGGTTGCGGTTTCCAAGTTGCTGTTGCCGTTGCCAGTTGCTGTTGCCAGTTGCTGTTGCCAGTTGCAGTGAACGACAACAGGGAACTGTGGCGCTAATTATCTGCACACTTGTCAAGATTTAGGACGTTTTGGCGTCAGGGGGCAAGCGAGGAGCGACATGCTCGGAAATGCTGCTTTAAGTGGCAACGTCGTTTTATGTGATTGCTCCAGAGACAATAGAAGAGTCAGAGATGGCTGCGTGTCCATTCTCCTGTCGGCTCTGGGCGTTTTGTGGCCATGTATTTTAATTGAAACTCATTCGCACATGAAGCAGACTCAGATAAGGCTGCCACACAACACTCATCCATTACCCATTCCCACACACTGACACTCACACTCACAATCAGAAACACTCTCGGAATCAAGCTGACTCTGTTGACTCTCCTCGATTAGATTTGAGTGGAGAATGCATGGGATATTATCTTGGTATGTAGCGTAAGTAAATCAAAGTGTTTAGCATATACAAATTAATTGCGGTTAACTAAATACGATACTAGATATGTTTGCGTTAGTTAGTTATTAAGATTATTGTGTATGCTGGCGATGCTATGCTGGGTGATACTGGCTAGGATAATATGTATTCAGCAACTGTTCCAGTCAAAAGCATTTCAAATGCAACTCTAAAATATATTTAATTTATAGACAAAATGCATATTGTTGTGTTTGCGTTTGTGTGTGTGTGTCTGTATCTGTCATTGGTTTGTATGTGTGTGTGTTTTAGTAAGTGTTTATTTAGATACTGGCCAAAATCTAAGTCGCAAGCTTAAGTAGTATCAACTGCCAAGCGAAGCAATAATGGGGGCAACTACTCGTATATGTTTTTAGGGCAATGCGAATGCGAATGAAATTGAAATAGAAATTTATTTGCCATAGATACACGCTAGATAAAATGTTGTAGAAAAAGACAGAGAGAAAATGCAATCGAGTGTGACTAAATGCAACTACGATACGAGTATGTGAGTTTATGGATGAGCAACTACTTTGTACTTTCGCGAGAAGATATGGAGGAAATAATTGTGAGAGAGAGGGAAATCTACATGGAGTCGAGTTTTGTTCGACTTGTTGACTTGGTGTGAAGTGAGGGAGTGTTAAGCTAGAGAAATGCGGAGGGTAGCTGAAGCACTGAGACGGGAGAGGGAATACGGGATGCTGGACTCGAGACAGAAACGAGATCGAAAGTAAGAGAATCAGTGGGGGAGGGAAACACACAGATACAAAAAGATTAAACCAAAACCAAGACCGAAACCAAAACCGAAACCGAAAACATATTATGAAAAAGATCAGATTAATGTGAACTCAGGAAAGAAATATGTAGAAATAGAAAGAGACAATAATGGTGAGGTGAGTAAAGGAACGAAAGATAGATGGAGATAGTGGAAGAGATAGTTGAGAGATAGAGGATAGAGAGTAACAAAAAACTACTTTTGCTGCAATTTTTTGCTGGTGATTTGTCGGACCTGAACTACTAGATATGTCTTGGGTGGGCACTGGCAGGCCGCCACGTTGCTGCTGCAGCTCCTGTTGCTGCAGTTGCACGCCCAGAATGGGCATGGCCACGGGCGGTGGTCGCACGCCCCGTCCGGCCCGTACTGCTGCCGCCTGAGCCACCGATGCCAGACTTCGTTGCTGCTGCTGATATTGCTGTTGCTGCTGCTGCTGCTGCTGTTGGAGCTGCTGCTGCTGTTGCAATTGTTGCTGCTGCTGCTGTTGCACTTGTTGTAGCTGTTGCTGCTGCTGCTGCTGCTGCTGCTCCTGCAAAGCAAGCTCGGAGACACTGACAATGGGTATATCCGCGGGCCTTGGGCCCGGCACCATCTCCCGCTCGGTGAATGCGGGTCCGGGTATCGAACCTCCAGCGAAGCTGCCATCCAACACCTTCGCCTGGACGGATTTGTCGGCGCCTGCTGCAAGATGCCCGGATTTCAGTTCGCCGGCTTGTTTCAGCACGCGATAAATTTGATCGATTTCAGTTATTTCTTTTGGGTGCCGTAGGAGAGTTGACAAGTTGACAAGTTGATTCGGTTGTTTGGTTGTTTGGTTGTTTGGTTGATTGGTTGATTGGTGAAGGGCGGTGGTGGCCAGTTTTGATTTTGGTTTGATCGATTTCAATACGTATTCAATTTTGGATATACATATAGTATTTTGGATGACCGTGCGTGATTGATAGGCATTATTACAAATTGGAATTGTGGTTTGAGCAGTTCTCTAATTTGGAATGAGCTTAATGGAGCGGGAGGGTGTTAATGGGCGGGGGTGGGTGGTTGGGGTGGCTTGGGGATACTTGTCATAATCTCAACTGCGTCGAAGTAGATGGGAGATAGTGTGGAACGACTGAGATACGTTTTGCTAGCGGCTTTACACTATTTTACTGCAGCATAGTTGATGGTTACTGTTGGCCTGCTCGCAAGCGATCGACTGCCAGGATGTAGGCTGCCCGAAGACTCAGCCATCCCAAGGAGCCATCCCTACACGTACAAGAGCCAGGCGGAATGAGCGTGAGGCAACAACTTCTAGTGAACTGTTCGGCATACTGGTGAATTACTGTACGAGTACGAGTACGGGTACGAGTTCGAATACGAGTACGAGTATGTGGTGGCTATAGCATGCTCCGCTACTGCAATTAATTTCTTTTGTCGGAGCCCTCATCAGCTCCAACGATTTGCCAACGAGTGGGGGTGAGTGCACCCCCAGTGGATCTCATTTATGCATGTGTGTGTGTGTGTGTGTGTGTATGTTTGTGTGTTGATTTGTATTTATTTATGTGTTAGATTGACTTTGAGTTTGAGCTGATTGTCTCGCTAATTAAGTGAATTAAACAGGGCAACAGTCAAACAACAACGAAAAATCCAATAAAAATCATAAGGTTCAAGCGCTTTGCAGTCTGCAGCCTGCAGTGTCTGGCGTGTCTGGTGCAGACACCATTCGACTGACTGCACTGACTGACTGACTGACTATACATATGTACATACATATATCGTAGCTGCTATGTATATATGGGTAGTATATGTATGCATATAGATACTATATAGAGTAATACTGATCGTTTTGATACCTAGTTGCGCAATGCGTTGCATGAAGGGCGTCTTTTGACGGAATTTCGCATTTGGATTGGGACTCGTATTCGGATTCGGATTCGGATCCGGATCCGGTACACACAACTGATCCTCTGCCTGATCTGCAACCGTTGCTACCACAACGGACTCCTGTGGCCATGCTAGTTTTTCGTTGGTGTTTGGTTTTCGGTGTTCGGTGTTCGGTGTTCAATGTTCGGTGGTTTGGTTGGGGAAGAGGATTTCACATTAGAGCTGAGACTACAATTTGAAATTCGTGTTTATGAACTACTTGTACATGAATGGCAGCTTGCAGCTTCGTGGAATGCAACAGACACTCTTTCACAGTTCAATGAGCAGGCAACTAATCATCATCAGAATCATCATCATCATCCTTCGAGTATCTACATATAGGATGCTGCGTTTCTACGAGCACTTCTGTTTCATCTGTTTCTAGGGCAACGGAACAGACGGGAGGGCCAAGAAAATTGCAATAGCTCTTGTTCGCTGGAGCTAAGAGAATTGCGACACAAATCACAAATGCCACAATCTGTGTGCTACCCCCTCCCCCACGAGTGCCATAAATCCATTGTGAAATCAACTGATACCAAGGCAATCACAATCACACCCCCAGTGCAGTGGCAGAGGAGGGTTCGCTCCTCCCGAACTCCACCTGACCATTTCAGATCAATAAATGTATGCCAAATGGTACGCAAAATATTGCTTATGTGGCCAGGTGGCAGAGGAACCATAGACCATAGACCATAGACCATAGACTATTCCAACACAGAAGGGCATGCAATGCAATTGTTTCGTATTTCAAGGTGAGTTCCTGGAGAAGCAAATGCCAGGTGCTGCCGCCATGCATATGCAGTTAGAGCACGGTTAGCCGAACAAATTGCTGGGGGGACCAAGTTCGGCCAAGTTTCGGCACAACATTTCCCCTGCAAGTCGCTAGATCCCTCCAAAAGCGGGTCGCTCGGTCTCCGTATTGGTGAGTGTGGCTGTGTATCTGCATGTGGGCTTGCATGTGAGTGTGTGTGTGTAAGCGAGTGTGTGTGTGTGTATCAGGGGGCATGGCTGTGATGATAATACGTGCCAGATACTTACTTTCCTCCTCGAAATCAACACGATTCTCCAGCTCCGAGGTGCTCTTCTGACGCCGCAGGAGCTTCTGCTTGGGCTGGCAGCGCGGCAGATTCGGGGCACAGTCTCCGTGGGCATTCAGCTTGCAGATGCGGCAGCGTAGACCCTGCCTGGTGTGGCCTATAAGAAGGAGCAGAAAGGAGCAGAGAGGACCATTGGAAGCAGATGGTTAGTGGCGTGCTCGTTAAAATTTAGGGACTGGGACTTGCGTGGCCCATACGCACCTCTGAGTATCTGAGAGCAGGCATCGCATGCCGTTATCTTCTTGTACGTGTACTCCTGCAGATGATGGCTCCCGTCCAGGTTGGGGCGCAGCGGCTCTGAGGCCGTGCTGGAGGCACCATTACGCCTGTGTGTGAAGGGGAAGGGGTTCGGCATCAGTGAAAACGCTTCGCAATGGAGTCGTCGCAAATGTTGCACTTGTCCCCCCATTTCTCGGTACACCATCGGCCAGACCAGGAGCATATGCTGATCAACTTTATGGCAGCTTTTGTTTCATATTTTATGACATTTCAGATTGCTTTAACGCACACGACAAACAATGCCAAATGAACAATGCGGTGCGGACAGGACAGTGCACAATGCCAAGTGGATAGTAGACAATGGACATTAATCAAAACTCATGTGTGGGGTGTGCTCGGCCAGGAAACAGAAGCATTAGAATAAATGTATTTAAAAGCAGCCAACACTCGGTTTTCTTCGCAACCCAATTGGATTCGTTGTAAATTGGTTGTCCATTTGTTACCGTTCGAGTGGAACGCACAGCCAGATATGTGCCAAGGCCACTGCTACGTTATATTTATGTTCTGCACACAGCAAATTAATTTCAACAATTTCATTTCATATTTAACACAGATGTACAACCAATTTGCAACTGCATCCTGCCCTACAGCCGCAGCAGGCAGGGTGAAAGAAGGCTGAGGTTGAGGCACACTGGTACAGTGGCAATTGTTTGGACAGATTCAGGCTCAGACCGGAATCAGAACCAGACACGACGTTGAGTGTTTGTAAGTGGCTTATGGACACAGCTACAGATGCAGCACTGAGCAACGGACATCCAGGCAGCCGTACGGACAGTCAGGCAGACGGACGGAAAGAGCAATATTTATAAAGTTGTGTGCTGAAAATGCGTAAAATACAAAGTACACAGTGCGAGTCGAGTCGAGTACCGCAATGGCCGAACGATTGGTGAGAGGTGGAAAGTGGGGAAAGTGCAACACTTACATGTGTTCATAGTACATATAAAACCAACTGAATATGATGATTGATAGATGGGATTGAATATGCAGACAATTCTTAAACTAAATGAAATATAGTAAAAATTATTTGGCATTGTCAACGAATTACCAAGAATGATTTCTGGCCGAGGTATATCTGTACATCTATCTGTATTATGTACATCAGCTATCTGAGTTAACTTATGTACGAATGGAAGTTTGTTTACTGGGAAGGCTACGACGAGTAATTGAAATTAATTTCGGGTTCAATGTTATGGCATACTTAATGGGTTTATCGAGCTATTCATACGTCTAAAATATCATTATTATTATACTGTACATTCATATATATATACTAGGTATACTAGGTATACAGGTATTCTAGCTATTCTAGGTATCGAGGGGAGGGGAGGTGTGAATGTGTGTGTGTGTGTGTGGTTGCCATAGAAAGCACAATGCTAAAACCAAAGAGCGGCGTAAATAAATAATTATTCACATTACAAATTTATTATTGTGTTTGTACACTGCTTAAAACTTTGAGCACTGCAACCTGAACATAAACCCCATCAGAAGGGAAAAGCACAATAGGCAGAAACAAAAACTGGACCACTGCGAAATGAGTTAACTTTCATTTTGGGGGAGGTCCAGTTTCGGGATTCATTCTGTAATTTCGGTGCAAAACTTTTGTAATATAGCAAGACTGAACTTTTAACTGGGACTTTCTTGTCACGTCTGTAAATACCCGTGCCCTCGTGTTAGTATTTTCGTTTATTTATGCGGAGTCTCCACCTCGCCTCGCCTTGCCACGCCTTGCCTCTGATGAATGCACGAAAAGTCGGAAATAATTCGAAACGAAGTTTGAGGGGATAAAGCCCGTTCCCCTCACACTCACTAAGCCGAGAAGATTTCCAGATTTATCATCATTGGCAGTGCAGACTGTCGGCATGGAATTAAGTATTGTTGCAGTTGCAGTTGCCACTGCCATTTCCCCATTCCATTCCACACAGCCAGCAAATAACAAATGCAACAAAATGCTGCCCATTTCTATGGGGCGGAAGCATGTGTCCAGTCTCTGTGTCCATGGGTATGTGCATGCTGTATGTGTATGTGCATGTGTATGGTCTGTGGGTGGATGGAAAATTTATAGTTTTGCAATTTTTCGCATATTTCTCAGTGCTTCAGTGGCGCCGAAAAGGAATTTACTGTGTCCGCCTGTGGCATCAGCATCAGCAACAGAAGCAGAAGCAGCAGCAGAAGCAGGAGCAGAAGCAGGAAACTTGTCCGGAACATATGGAGCCCACTCTCGGACACATTTATTCTTAGTTATCGAACAGTGTAAACTTTGCAGCTCTACCATTGTCTTTGCTCCACTTTCACGGGCTGTAGGTATTCGAATTGTTTTCACATTCGCCCCTTTTTTAATTGCCACATGTGGCACTAATCGTGATTGATGATTTCGTCGGCGTGGAAGCAGCTGCATTTTATTGCAGAGCATAACCCATTGCTTACTATGGCCAATAATAATAAAATAATAACATATATTGTATATATTGTATGTACGTGCTGTAAATCAATTAGTTGGGGATAATCGAGGGCTAAGGCAGGTTGTTCTTTCAACTAATTGTCAACTAATTTGCGTGCAACACATACAGCAACCCATTGCATACTGCTATGTTAGACAGAGTGAGTGTATCATATACATATGGGAATTACTTATATACATATATATATATATATACTCGTATGATGATCTATTTATATGTAGCTTAAAGTTTGGACAGGTGCTGTACGAGTGGTTTTAGTTGGTGAATTTCGGTTACCTCAAAGTCAAAACGGTTGATACAGCGTGGTACATTTGATTTTGTCGGGGTGGTGGTTGGCTGATTGATCGCGATTAAGTACCGATATATCGATTTAATTGAGTTAAGTGTTCAAATGAGGATGGCATATACGTGTATATATTAATAGAGAAAAAGTGTAGAGAACATTAGTAGTCTGAACTTCTTCCAACAGAGGCAGAGGGCAGAGGGTTAACTTAACCTAAAGTGGGACTGGACTGGACTGGTTTCTGGTGATGTTGAGGGGAGGAGGCCCTGTATCTGGGTGGGATTATCTTTTAGAGTGCAATGGCGCCGCATTGCATAATTCGAAGTGTGTAAATATTAGCTATATACTTTCTATGCCCAAGGCCTGCGCCTGCTGTGGCCTTTCCACGATTGCTTGAATAATTTTCCGCCTTTTCTGTAAGCTTTTAGTCATATTAATGTGCGGGCGGCTCGGCTTGGAGCGGCTCCTCCTCTACTCTTGCCCACCGGCACTATTTCATTTTGTATCTGGTTGTAGGCGCTCTCTCTTTCCTTTCTGCTTTTTATGCATGTGGATGTGGATGGGGATGGGGATGGGGATGCGGATACTTTGCTGTGGTTTCTGTTCGACTTAATGGGCCAATGGGCCTTGCTCTGCGCCTGATAATGTTGTGTCAGAGCAGGGGTCGGGTGGGGATGGTATATACTGGTCTAGGTGGTATAGGATGGTGCAGGGTTAGACTTACCTGTCTGCTTGTTGTGCTGAACCAGAACCAGCAGGCTTTAGGCTCTTAAATGCTTTCAGCCACTTTGTTTTCATCGATGGCGCTGTGGCAGCGGAGAATTTACGTTCGTTGCGCGGCGACGTCGGCTCAACTTTGCTCACGAACAGCTCCTTCTGCAAGAGAGAACGAGAGACGGGGAGAGAGAGGAAGGGAGAACGTGCATTAGACCAAATGCAATTTCCATTTAAACGTCTCACGTTGCAGCTTAATTACAAGCCATTTACACTTGCAACCCGTTTCCATTCCCATTCCCATTCGCATTTCATTCTATTCCATTTGCAGCAAAACTTTGTCTGCTATTTGCCAGCCATTTTGATTTCTGTTTTCTCGCTAGGACACAAACAGGATACACACATGTAAGCACAAACACACACACACACACGGTGGAAGTGGAGTGCTGGAGAGGGAGTGGGAGTGGGAGGGAAAGCTCGTTATGGCATAATGGAGCCATGATTACATGGACACTGTTTAGACCGAGGAATGCTTAAATATTTAACTGATATTCTGATAGGCGACAACCCAGCGTTGAATAAAGCTATTTTAATTAATAATCAACACTTTGCTGAATGCCACAAAATGTAATTATGCCTGGCACACGCACACACACACACACACACACACACACACAAACACAGAGACAAACTTCCACGAATACACTCACAGTGCAGAACTCTTGGCAATAATTAAAACCACGTGTGACATTTGGTCACAGTTTAGTAAGCCTCGTTGTCCTAGTTGTCCCTTCCCTGTTCTTGTTAGAGTACGTTGTGCGTTATTTGGCTGTTGTGCTGTTGGCTGTCGACTGTAGGTTGTGCGTTGCATAATTAGATTAGTTCTACATAGCGGCGCGATATGTACACACACACACTCCACTTGCAAGCCTATCTAGGTTCTACATTGCTTTAATTAGTTATGCATTGATTTATTATATTATTAAGGCTTAGCTGAATCAATACGTTTTTTTTTAAATTAATTTATAGATTAAATAGACTCTAGCCATCTGCTGGAGTATTAGCCAATAGGTTTCATTAGCCGAGAAATACTGGAAAGACTCGCTCCAAGGATGGATGTGAAAGGTATTATATACCCCTGATAATAATTAAAATAAATATGCCTTGTTTAAAAATTACTTCGAAAAAGATGGCAGCAGGATCCGGACATGTTTGCTGCTTTAATTTCCATTTCATTTAATTGATTTTTATTTTCGGTCTGCTTGTCTGTCAATCAAAGCCATAATCCGAAGGAAGTTCAACTGACAGCACCGCTTCACACCGATTCGCGAGAGACAGAAGTCGAGCGTGATTTTATGAGGCCATTTGCAGAGGCAGAGGCAGCCAAAACAAGTTAAAAATCATTGCACTCAATGCAATTGCCGCATTTATAATGAATCAGGAGCGCGCGTTCGATTCGGGTTGGTTCGGTTCGGTTCACTCTTTGGTGGGTATTGTATTTTTTCCACATGCTATTTTTAGCACTCTGACAGTCTGACAGAAATTGAAGGGGGCGAGGCCACACACACATACACATGTACAGAATGAAAGGGGTGGATGACAGGCAGGATATTAAGTCTGCCATGTGTCCCGTGTCCATATGGTGCAACGTCATATCAAAATCAATGTATCAGCCACAGCAGCAGAAGCAGAAGCAGGAGTATTGAGCAGAAGCAGAGGTAGGAGCATGGGCATGGGCGGCATGGTAAAACAAAGGTTGAAATTCCGGGACATACCATTTCATGATTGCAGGAGAATGCGCTTATAAAAATTAATTCTCTCTCAGCAATTGCAATTAAAAATTAATTTTTCAATCTTTTTCATACTGCCCCACCCTACCCCCGACAAGACCAGACCCGCACCAAACGAAAATATTAAATGTGCAATTAATTTTAACGCAAATTCTTTGCAAGTGGAAATGGGTATGGGATTTGGTTTGTCTTTTTCCTGCATCTTTCGCTTTAGCTTTAATCGGATTTAAGATGCCTGTCGCCTGCCCCACTTGACAGAGCCAAGATAAGAAGGTCTCTGGCTCCCGTCTCGTGCTCTTTTGCTGGCTGTCGCTGGCAACCAGCACATTTAAATGCTGTCCATCCCCACCCAGAGGCACGGCCGAGTGGCAGTGGCCGCCCCCCGTCTGGCCATAATGGACATGTGCCTGTCATGTTGCCTTTGTCATTGTCGTCGCCATTTGAAGGCGGGGCTTGGGCCATAAATTTATGCATGCAGTGCATAAAATTCAAATTAAAGGAGCTGCTGCACATCCTGCCAGCGACAAGTACACGTTTTGACACTTTACAACAGGCCAAGTCCCATCCAGGACAGCCTCGGAGCCCGCAGCCAGCAGTCGACGGCGACTGCTAAATGGACAAGGGACTCGGGAGTCGGGACTCGGGACCAGCACCGTGGGACCTTGGGAGTGGCACTGTCGAGTGGGGCTAGTGGGCGGACAGTTGAGAGATGTGGGCATCCTGCATCCTGCCCTGCAATCAGGAGCATCAGCTGCCGCTCCGCTGCGGCAGCTATACTGAAATCAAATGATGCCTTTCCCGGGACCAAAAAGGCTTAAAGTGCTCTTTCTCTCAACCAGCTTAGGCTTCCACTTCTCTGTTATTAAATGCGACCTAATTGATTTCGCCTGGCTTTTTAAGCTACTTTTCTAACCAAACGGAAAAGAGCTACACAATTTGAATAGAGTAGGGGATCAGAGAGGGCCGTGGATAGTTTGGAGCACGTTTGGAGCTTCTCTTTTGCCGTTTTTTGCCACTTTAATTATCTGCTATCTGCTGGTTGGCCTCCACTCTCATTCGGTGGGTCCCTGGAGGGGAGCCAAGCCAAATTTATGGCTGTCACAATTTTTAATTATGTTTCCCATTGCTAGATTGAAACCACAAAGGTATCGTAAATTGCACGGCCTTTCCAGCGACGTGAAGAACCAAAAACAATGCGGAACGGAACGAAGCGAAGCGAGCCCAAAGTGAAATTTCCTCATTAAGCGGGCCACAACAAAGCAGGCGGCAAAGGAAAGGGAATCTTTTGTGATTTCATGGTGGACCTGCTTGACCACAGTCCCGACCCCGACCCGATATCAAATCCCCCTCGATGCCACTTCCACCTTATAATAAGCATTTCAATTGGCCCACGATGAGCCATTCGAGCGGCAGCAATATGAAAGCATATTTTATTGCCACTTTGACGAGCAGCAGCCAGGGGGATGTTGGCTGTTGGCTGGTGGCTGTACGATGTAACCTATATTTTCCAACCCCGATTATGACTTTGTAATCTGGAGTACGAGTACGTATGTGGGTGTGCATTAGGCGGTGTAGGGAAAGTGGAAAGCTGCCACTTACTTCATGGCTTTTTCCCAGCTCCTACTAATTGCCGCGCTCCCGTAGTCTGTAGTCGGGCTGGGCTAAGGATGCCGAGAGCTCTGCAAACATGGCCAAGACAATTTAGCCAACATGCAGCACACAAGCACGAAAGAGCGAGAGATAGGGACAAGGAGTGCCTGAGCGAACGAGAGCGAGAGGCAGAGGATGAGTGAGAGTGAGAGTGGACGGACGGGGACGGGCAAACATTTCCGTAAATTACACGCATTTGTCAAAACGAAACAATGCGCAAAGTGTTTATTTGTTTTAGTGAGTGCTTTTGAGCGTAGAAATGACTCGACACAAAAACAGACAACGAGGGGGGGGGGGCGAGAGGGGCCGGCCAGGGGACGGCGACTGTTGTAGAGCTGTTGCAACTTCTAATGGGTTTGCTTGTTGCACGAGTGTGTTGTTGCGCGAAATGTAGAGCAGCTATTATGCAACCACATCACACTGACAATACACCCACCCACCACCCATCGATCCAATCCATTGCGATGCCATGTCATGCGACGCTCTGCAGCCCAAGGACCATGCGGCGTATACGCAATATCAGTAAGCACTTTTCAATTTTCATTAACTGCGACGCCAAATTGCTTGTGGCATGTGCAACTGGCACAGCTACGCTCAACGCTACAGAGACATTGCCGAAGCACAGTTTTTATTTGACAAGCAACAGCAGTGCCAGCAATCTGGGAGCGAAGATTGAGTGCCGCGACAGATGACACAGAGAAGTCAAGTCCGTCTCGTCTGGGACTCCGCGTTCCGTCGGGCCGCTCCGTGGCTCTGTGGTTAACCGCTCTCCGTGCTGTTCGGCCGCCCGTTTTCGAGCGCTAAATAAATATGTTACTCGGCCTCGGATGTTAAATTTATGGCCAACAATTAAAATTGCACAATGTTGTTTGCTTTGGCCACACACTCTTTGCTCTCTGCTCTCTGCTCTTTGCTTTCCGGTATGAGAGTAAGCCAGGAAGCCAGCCGCTGCTGGAGCAGGAGCTGGGCCAGATGATAAGCTTAATCGGCTCACGCTCAACGCCTGCTTGGCCCAGACCCAGACCCAGACCTGGGCCCAGGCCAGGCCAGTATCGGCATCGTTAACCATTTGCCTGGCCTGTTGCGGCTTTTATTTATTTGCTTCTGTGGGGAGCACGGCCTTGGCTCTCCGCAAAATTTGATGGCTTCATGAGGTGCACGGTACACCCTCACTCCCTTAGCCGCAAACCCACTCTGCCAACAACCACAGTCTGGGGTAAATAAGAGAGCAAAGGCTCTCATTAAGCCGAACCGAAATCCTCAAGGATGTGAAAGGCGTGCGGGAAGTGGTGTGTGGTTAGAGCTGCGTGAAATGCCTTCTGATTCTTCCTGTAATGACACTTGCATTCACATCTTGGCTGTCGGGCTGTTCTGTATGTAATTTGCATTTTTTGCCTCGCCCCTGTCCACGACATGTCCTTACTTTTTATTTTTATTGCTCAAAACAAAATGGAATATGGCGGAAAATGCCAGGCCATGTGTGGACTGGCTTGGCCTGGTCCTGGACCTGGACCTGGAACTGGCCCCCCTTGGTTTTATGGATTTTCTCTTGGCTTCTGGCTTCTGGCTGGTGTGCTGCTGCTGCTGCTGCTTCTCCTTGCTCTTGTCATTCTACGTGACTGCCATCAATTTTCTGTGGCATTGCCGCATCATTTTGCATACAAACTGGTGAATGAGAGGGCGAAGTAGAAGAGGATGCGCATGGCCTTGTGCTCTTAACTC